AGCTTTGCTTCTGTGCCCTCTCCCACCCTTGAATTTTTCATCTCTTTCTTTCTCTGATTTCCTTATTTTCCTCACTTTTGTACCACGTCCCCTCACCCCCTGTTCCTGACTCAGCAATGCCGGGGAGCACCTGAGCAGGGAACGGGTTGCGGGGCAACAGGGGAGGGGAAAAACGGGGTGTGAGGGGTGCAAGGATGGGTGGGGAGGCTGTGGGGATGGAGGTGTTGGGCTGTGCCCTCTCAACAGTTTTACTTTCTTTTTCTGGGACAGGAAGGAAGCGGCCATTTGTGCTGAGAGTCAGATGGGAAAGGTAGGGGGTTCTGTTCTGGGAGGGCAAATCCAGGGTGTCTTTTCCTGGGAGGATCCTGTCCCAGCGAGTGACACATCCTGGCATGGGGGGACCTTTCCCAGGGGGTGGCAGTTCCAGAAATGTCCCTGCACATTCCTGGCCGGGTGCCTGTCCCAGGGGTGGCACATCCTGGGGACCCCTGTCAATGCAAGGCTGGGGCCCAGCCATGGCCCAGCCCCACTGCCCCGGGATGGCCATTGCCCAGCCCTGCTCTGGCCAGCCCCAGGTGGCAGCCAGCACCTGAGGGTCCCCATTGCCCCCTTGGCTTTGATTCTGGCAGCTTTAGAGCTGCTGCAGAGGTGAGAATTCTGTGGGGAGAAAAGGCCTGCCTGTGGTTTTCTCAGCCCTGCAAGAAGCACAAAACCCAAAGGGAGCCCAAGCAGTGGCTCTGTGAGGGCCTTTGATGGTTTCCAGAGCAGGGCTGGCTGGAAATCCCCACTGCAATGGCAGTTGTGGGGATACCAGTCCAGAAATGCAGCAATTGATCATTTGTTTCTCTTGGTAAGGGACTGTGAGAACCACAAAACTACTGCACAACCCACAACATTCTGCTCAACAACCTCACCTGGACCCTCCTTCTTGAACAAAACCCGCCGCCTTCTGGAACCTGATGGAAAGAATGTTTGGGTTTGGGATGTGTCTGCCAGACAAGAGGGAAAAGTGTGGGAATACCGAGCAGGGGCTCTGCTGGCGGCCATGGTGGGGCTGTGAGGAGTGACCCTGTGTGGATTCCAGGTGTCCCCAAAGCTGCTCCATCCCTGCCCTCCTCACCTGAGGGAAAGGCTGAGGGTTTGCAGGAATTGTGGTGTAAAGCCACCAGAGGAGCTGCTGTGGACCCGAGACCTGCCTGGGGTCAGGCGCTGCTTTCCTTCCATTTGGGATCACGGAGAGTGGATGCGGGTGTTGTGCAGGGTGTGCGCCTGGCCCCGGGACACTGCTACGCTGCCAGTGGGCACTGGGATCCAACCTGCTGCCTTGGCGGCTTCTGCCTGCTGCCGGTGTTGGTGCCGGGAGCGATTGGTGCCCGTGAGTTTGCAAAAGGAGCGATTTCCCCTCCTCCCTCCCGTCCGCGGCCGCCATGGCCCCTGAGGGGATGGAGCTGGACTGGGGCGCCCCCTGCTGGGCGGGAGTGCTTCCAGCAGCGCCCCCTGCTGGCCAGGAGTGCTCCCTGCAGCGCCCCCTGCTGGCCAGGATTGCTCCCTGCAGCGCCCCCTGCTGGCCGCGGTTATAACTGCCACAAAAACCAACAGCGCTGAGCGGGACGGAAAGTTCTGGGTTTGTGTTGTTTGTTCTGTTCTGCTTTATAAATTTCCCAGTAAAGAGCTGGTATTCCTTTTCCTACAGTTCTGCCTAGAATCCCCATCATCTTTGAGATTGTAAAGAGTTTTTTATATGGGTCTTCTTTCTATTCCAGGAACATTCCCACTTTCCTTGGCAGACATTTCTCGTTTAAAGGAGTTGCCAGTTTCTGGGTTCCAGCGTGGATGGGACAGACAACCCAAATGAAGACACGGTCAGGGACTTGGCCACCTCATGCTCTGCCTTTTAAGCCACTTGGGCCGCCAAGGGCCCTCTCCCCAGATGGCACTTCTGGTCACCCAGCCACTCAGGAGCTGGCTTGGTCAAAGCGTCATGCTCTCCCCAGTGTGCCATGGCTGACAGACTGATGGACAGACAGGGCCGCGTCTCGCCAAAAGCAAGGTCTGACCCACCCCTGCCACACACAGCTGTTCCAAAATGTCTCCAGACACCAAACTTTTCCTGTCTCTGACACCCCACCCTGTGCCATGGCCTGATCCCGACTGCCCTGGCAATGGGAGAGGCTCCTGAACCCCCACAGGGACTTTGTGTCATCCTGGTGTTGGGAACACGGCAGAGGAGGGGTTTGGCACAGGGGACAACAGAATCCAGAGCCTCCATCAGAGCAAGGAAGATCCAGGGCCCTACCAGATTCCTCTGGTGGAGGAAATGTGCTGGGGGGATTATTTGGGGTTTGTTCCTTATTGGGAGCTTTCCCTGGAAATTGTTCCTTGTGTGACCATTTGGACTCTGAACCTTGTTGCTGTTGCTGTTGGTTTTATTCTCTCTCATTGCTGTTTCAGGAAATTGTTCTTCTCTCAGCCCTTTGGGATCTTTGTGCCTCCACAAGGAGGTTGAGGAGCAATTTTTTAGTGACAGCACAGACACGAGTAGGTGCCCATGGGTGGGGACCCCCAGTGCCCCCCAGTTCCCCCCCACTGTCACAGCACATTGCCGTAGATGTCATCGGGTTCCCGTGGTGGCCCCTGGGGTCCCCGCAGCTCCGCGTAGGTCACCTGGGGATCCTGGAGGGTGGTGGCATGGGTGGACGCTGCGAGAGACAGGGGCTGTGGGATCTGGGTGGGGTGACACTTGTTGGTGACGTGTCCCTCTGTGTGTGTCCCCCCCGTACTCACCCCCTGCCCTCTTGGTGACCACGACGTGGGTGTACAGCACCTCCCCCTCCTCTGGGGGGGGCGGGATATCCGGGGGTGCCCTGAGGGAATAAAGGGGATGTGGGGGAGAGAATGGGAGATCTTGGGGGTTGGGGTAAAAGGGGAGAATGAGGTTTGAGCCCCCCACTCACCTTTCCTGGTTCTTCCTGGCAGCTGCAGAGAAAAGAAGGGAGGGGTGACTGTGGGGTCCCAAGGGCCCTGAATCCTCTCATGATTCCTGAACCCCCATGGGACCCTCAATTCCCCTCAGGATCCCCAAGAATTTCTGGAGCCCCGAGAACTCAATGCCCCTGACCAACTCAGCCTCAAGAACCCAAAGCCCAGCAGGGACAGAGACCCCCCCAAAGGCCCCCAGGGCCCCTGAAAGAATCCCCAACATCCCTGCAGGACCCTCCAGCACCTCCCCAAACCCTACAGCACCACCAGACAGGGTGACAATTCTGGGGCTGTGGGTGCTGCCCTATAGCTCCCCAACTTTGTGGGTCTCTACAGCTCCCTGGGACCCCCGTCCCCCCATTGTCACCCACCCACACGGTGCCACCGGTGCCAGGCTGCAATGACACCCACGAGCAGGAGCAGGAACAAAAGGGCCCCACTGACCCCTGCGGCCACTGCAAGAAACAGAGGGGACACATCAGGGTCACCCATCACCCCTGGAGTGCTGCACCCCCAGCAACCCTGTGTGACCCCACCTGTGACCCAGGGTGAGCCAGGTGTCACCTCCAGTTCCAGCTCAGGGCTGAGTGCCCGGAACACGTGGTGCCCGTCCTGTCCCAGCTGGTTGGTGGCCACGCACTGGTAGGTGCCCGAATGTCCCACATCGATGTCCCTGAGCTCCAGGAGGGGACCCCGGGCCACCTCCTGCCCGTTGTGCAGCCAGGTGAAGGTGACAGGGGCTGAGCCCACCTGCACCGAGCAGCGCAGGGTCACATTGTCACCTGTGTGCACCTGGTGTGCCAGGGCACCGGGGGTGATGGTGGCATTGGCCACGGGCACTGTGGGGACACAGGACAGAGAGTGATGGTGGCATTGGCCACGGGCACTGTGGGGACACAGGACAGAGGGTGATGGTGGCATTGGCCACAGGGACACAGACAGGGCTGAGGGCACAGGGAGGGGCTGGCAGTCGGTGTGGGGGGATAGGAACAATGGGGATGGGTGTGGTGGGGGATGTCAGGGATGGGGTCACACCAAGGAGGGGTGAGGGGACACAGGGCAGAGGTGGGAGGACACAAGGAATGTGTCAAGGGGACATGCAGGTCCCCAACCAGGGCACCCGGGGGTTCTGTGGGGCTCCCCGTGCCCATCCCCGCACTCACTGCGCACCGTGACGGGGAGCCGGTCGCTGCTCTTCCGCACGGTCCCACCCTGGGACTGCACCTCACAGCTGTAATTCCCCGAGTGGGAGACCCCCACGGCGGGCACCAGCAGCTGCGGGGACCCCTGTGGGCCCCCCAGCACCCACCCGTCCCGGTAGAACAGGTACAGGAGGGGGGCTGGGGGCCGCAGGGGGCTGGGGGTGCTGCGGCAGCTGAGGGTCAGGGGGGACCCCACGGTGATCTCGGGGGGACCCTGCAGCACCAGCACTGGCACTGTGAAGAGCTCTGGAAAGAGAGGGGAGGGGATTTTTGAGCCTGAATCCCTGGGGAGGGGCTGTGGGGGTGTCGGGGTGGGGGTTGTGGGGGGCTCACCGTGCACTCTCAGTGTCACCGGCGCTGAATCCTTCCACTCCCAGGATGCCACCTGGCCCCTGCAGCTGTAGCTGCCGCTGTGGTTCAGCTGCAGAGGGGACAGGGACAGCTCGGTGCCATCACGGAGCCCCCTCAGTTCTGTCCCCCCTCGGTAGAAGGACACCGAGGTGACCTTGCTGTTCCAAGAGCCCCGGCAGTGCAGTGTCACTGTGTCCCCCTCCAGCAGCACCCGCACTGGCACCTGCAGCACCAGCCAGTCTGGGGACAGAGGGGTCCTGTCACACCCGATGGCACCAGGACCCCCCATTGGAGGGTCCAGCACACCAGGGGTCCCCAGTTCCAGCACTGGGATCCCCCCAACACTGGGATGTCCTAAGGGCAGGGGACAGGCTGTGGTCATACAGGAGGTGACCCATGGAGCGGAGCCCACCCAGAGCCCTCGGGGTCCCCACGGTGCCAGCCTGGAGACACCCAAACCCCCCTCACCGTCTGAGACAGTCACAGGGCCGCTGCGCCCACTGCCAGGTCTGTCACACTCGTAGGTGCCACTCTCGGTGACAGTGAAGTGGTCAGGTCCCTTCTGCCACCAGTGCTTCCCGTCCTTGTACCAGGTGGTGGCACCAGCTGTCCCCGAGCCCTTGCAAGTCAGTGTCACCCAGTCCCACAGCACCGCCGGCCTCCAAGGAGAATCCAACAGGAGCTGGGTGGTCTGGGCACCTGCAGGTGACAGGGGACACCAGCCTGCCAGGGTCATTGCAGGGTTGGGGACAGCGGGATGGGACCATGGCATCCCACGAGGACTCACCAGTGAGGCCGAGGGTCTGGGCTGGAAGGGAGAAGGGACAGGGCTCAGTGGGGGTGGCACTGTGGGCACAGCAGCATGGGGACACAGGGGGTGTTGGGCAGCTTGGTGTCCCCAAACTGTCCCCATGGAGTCAGCAGTTCTTGTGAAGAAACTCTGTCTGGTTGGTCCCCAAAAGTTTCGGCGAGGCCAGGGGGACATGTCTGTGTCACAGCCACCCGTGCACCACATCCGTGTGGCACAGACACCTTGGGAACAGGGACACCGAGGCCACGCTGGGTTGAGGGTGGGGACACCGTGGACACCCCAGGCACGAGGACAGCACGGACACAGCCCATGCTGGCCCAGGTCACCCCCACCAGCTCATGATCCCATCCCAATGATCCCATCCCCATGGCCACATCCTCACCATTCTTGTCCCCTTCTGTCCCTGCATCCCAGTTCCCTTGTCCCTATGCCCAAAGCTCCCTGAGCCCAAAGGTGCCAGTCCCCACATTCCTGTCCCCACATTCCTGTCCCCAAAGCCATCCTACATCCCCAGTCCCACCAAGGTCCTCTGTGGGTACCATGGACTGGCACTGCTGGCATTGGGGACCTCAGGGGACCCTGCAGCCCCCCTATGCCCCCTTCCCTCCCCATCCCAGGGGTCTCAGCCCCGTGCCCGGGGCACTCACCCCACAGGAGCAGCGCCACCTTCCCGGCCATCCCGGTGTCCCCAGCCATGTGCACTGGCTGTCACTCGCTGCTGTGGCCACCGCTCCCTTGGCTGGTGGCTCTTTGGATGAAGGGGAAGGAAGTGAGGTCACGTCCGTCCCCACCTGTTGGTGGCCCTTGGTGGGGGCAGGGTGGCCACAAGCTGGACACAGGCTGGGGACATGGTGGGGGATGGTGTTGCCAGGAGTAGGGGGCTCAGGGGATGTGGGGAACCAAGGATGGGGTTCCAGGAGAATGGGGATCCAGGGGAATTGAGGTCTCCGTGCCTGGGGGCATTCAGGGATGGGGGTGCTGTGGGAACATGGTCCCCAGGGATTTGGGGTCATGGCAGGTGGTTGCCAGGGTTGGGGATGCAGGGGGAAAAAGGGGACCCTTGGGAATAGGGGTTCTGGGGGAAGAAGCAGCCGATGGGATGGGATCAAGGCAATGGTGGTGCTGGGCAATGGCAGTCCTGGGATGGGGTTCCCCAGGCATGGTGGGACACAAGGAATGGGGGTCCCATGGGTGGGGTTCCAGGGGAATGGGGGTGCCTGGGAACGGCAGTGGCTGGGTGGGCCAGTGGGTCTGAGCTCCTTCCCTGGGTGTCTCAGATTTTGGGGTGACCCAGGGCCCAGCAAAGCCCCCTTGGGCTGCTCATTTCCTGGGCAGGCATCACTTGAGGGTCCTGGGCAGCTTTGCTTCTGTGCCCTCTCCCACCCTTGAATTTTTCATCTCTTTATTTCTCTGATTTCCTTATTTTCCTCACTTTTGTGCCACGTCCCCTCACCCCCTGTTCCTGACTCAGCAATCCCGGGGAGCACCTGAGCAGGGAACGGGTTGGGGGGCAACAGGGGAGGGGAAAAACGGGGTGTGAGGGGTGCAAGGATGGGTGGGGAGGCTGTGGGGATGGAGGTGTTGGGCTGTGCCCTCTCAACAGTTTCACTTTCTTTTCCTTGGACAAGAAGGAAGCGGCCATTTGTGCTGAGAGTCAGATGGGAAAGGGAGGGGTTTCTGTTCTGGGGGGGCACATCCAGGGTGCCCTGTCCTGAGGGGATCCTGTCCCAGGGGGTGGCACATCCTGGCATGAGGGGACCTTTCCCAAGGGGTGGCAGTTCCAGAAATGTCCCTGCACATTCCTGGCCTTGTGCCTGTCCCAGGGGTGGCACATCCTGGGGACCCCTGTCAATGCAAGGCTGGGGCCCAGCCATGGCCCAGCCCCACTGCACAGGGATGGCCATTGCCCAGCCCTGCTCTGGCCAGCCCCAGGTGGCAGCCAGCACCTGAGGGTGCCCCCTGCCCCCTTGGCTTTGATTCTGGCAGCTTTAGAGCTGCTGCAGAGGTGAGAATTCTGTGGGGAGAAAAGGCCTTGCTGTGGTTTGCTCAGCCCTGCAAGAAGCACAAAACCCAAAGGGAGCCCAAGCAGTGTCTCTGTGAGGGCCTTTGATGGTTTCCAGAGCAGGGCTGGCTGGAAATCCCCACTGCAATGGCAGTTGTGGGGATACCAGTCCAGAAATGCAGCAATTGATCATTTGTTCCTCTTGGTAAGGGACTGTGAGAACCACAAAACTACTGCACAACCCACAACATTCTGCTCAACAACCTCACCTGGACCCTCCTCCTTGAACAAAACCCGCAGCCTTCTGGAACCTGATGGAAAGAATGTTTGGGTTTGGGATGTGTCTGCCAGACAAGAGGGAAAAGTGTGGGAATACCGAGCAGGGGCTCTGCTGGCGGCCATGGTGGGGCTGTGAGGAGTGACCCTGTGTGGATTCCAGGTGTCCCCAAAGCTGCTCCATGCCTGCCCTCCTCACCTGAGGGAAAGGCTGAGGGTTTGCAGGAATTGTGGTGTAAAGACACCAGAGGGGCTGTTGTGGACCCGAGACCTGTCTGGGGTCAGGCGCTGCTTTCCTTCCATTTGGGATCACGGAGAGTGGATGCGGGTGTTGTGCAGGGTGTGTGCCTGGCCCCAGGACACTGCTACACTGCCACACTGCCAGAGGGCACTGGGATCCAACCTGCTGCCTTGGCGGCTTCTGCCTGCTGCCGGTGGTGGTGCCGGGAGCGATTGGTGCCCGTGAGTTTGCAAAAGGAGCGATTTCCCCTCCTCCCTCCTGTCCGAGGCCGCCATGGCCCCTGAGGGGATGGAGCTGGAGCGGGGCGCCCCCTGCTGGGCGGGAGTGCTCCCTGCAGCGCCCCCTGCTGGCCGGGAGTGCTCCCTGCAGCGCCCCCTGCTGGCCAGGAGTGCTCCCTGCAGCGTTCCCTGCTGGCCGGGAGTGCTCCCTGCAGCGCCGCCTGCTGGCCGCGGTTATAACTGCCACAAAAACCAACAGCGCTGAGCGGGACGGAAAGTTCTGGGTTTGTGTTGTTTGTTCTGTTCTGCTTTATAAATTTCCCAGTAAAGAGCTGGTATTCCTTTTCCTACAGTTCTGCCTAGAGTCCCCATCATCTTTGAGATTGTAAAGAGTTTTTTATATGGGTCTTCTTTCTATTCCAGGAACATTTCCACTTTCCTTGGCAGACATTTCTCATTTAAAGGAGTTGCCAGTTTCTGGGTTCCAGCGTGGATGGGAGAGACACCCCAAATGAAGACACGGTCAGGGACTTGGCCACCTCATGCTCTGCCTTTTAAGCCACTTGGGCCGCCAAGGGCCCTCTCCCCAGATGGCACTTCTGGTCACCCGGCCACTCAGGAGCTGGCTTGGTCAAAGCGTCACGCTGTCCCCAGTGTGCCACGGCTGACAGACTGATGGACAGACAGGGCCGTGTCTCGCCAAAAGCAAGGCCTGACCCACCCCTGCCACACACAGCTGTTCCAAAATGTCTCCAGACACCAAACTTTTCCTGTCTCTGACACCCCACCCTGTGCCATGGCCTGATCCCGACTGCCCTGGCAATGGGAGAGGCTCCTGAACCCCCACAGGGACTTTGTGTCGTCCTGGTGTTGGGAACACGGCAGAGGAGGGGTTTGGCACAGGGGACAACAGAATCCAGAGCCTCCATCAGAGCAAGGAAGATCCAGGGCCCTACCAGGTTCCTCTGGTGGAGGAAATCTGCTGGGGGGATTATTTGGGGTTTGTTCTTTATTGGGAGCTTTCCCTGGAAATTGTTCCTTGTGTGACCATTTGGACTCTGAACCTTGTTGCTGTTGCTGTTGGTTTTATTCTCTCTCATTGCTGTTTCAGGAAATTGTTCTTCTCTCAGCCCTTTGGGATCTTTGTGCCTCCACAAGGAGTTTGCGGAGCAATTTTTTAGTGTGCATCACAGACACGAGTAGGTGCCCATGGGTGGGGACCCCCAGTGCCCCCCAGTGTCACAGCACGTTCTCGTAGTCACGGGGGTCCTGCTGTCCCTTCTGGGGTCCCAACAGATCCGCGTTGGTCACTTGTGGGTCCTGAGGTGGGGCAGGGCGGGGAGGCACCTGTGGGGGCCCTGAGAGTGGCACCGCTTGTGGGGACCTGGGTGGGGGTGACATTTGTGGGTGCCCCTGTGTCCCCCCTGTACTCACCCTCTGCCCACTCGGTGCCCCTGATGTGGGTGTTGAGTACAGCCCCCTCCTCTGGGGGGTCCTGTGGGGATTAGAGGGGGTCTGGGGGTATCTGGGGAGGGGGAAAGGGGAGTCCCATCCCGAGCCCCCCACTCACCTGTCCTGGAGCTTCCTCATGGCTGCAAGGGAAAGGGGAGGGGCTGACCGAGGGGACACCGGGACCCCTGAACCTTCCTGAGACCTCAGCAGCTCCAACCACCCATGGGACCCCCCAAATCCCCACTGCAGCCCCGATTCCCAATGGACCCCTGACTCCCCCGGACACTCTGAGCACCCCTGAACACCCAGAACTTCTGCACCACCGCAGGGTCCCCAGCCCCCCTGGTGCCACCAACCCTCTGAGCCCCCAGAACCCCAATTCTGGCAGGGATGGGCACCCCCAAACTCCCCCAGGACCCCAGAAAGATCCCACGACAACAATCCCACACGGAGCGCTCTGCTTTTCCACCCCAGTGTTCTCAGAGGCGCGTCCAAATCCCAGCGGCCAAACCAGGTGCCAGTATTCAAATCTGAGTGCCCATTGGTTTGACCACAGCTTCCCAGAAAATTTACACATCCCTCCAGGAGCTCCCCAAACCCTCCAGGAGCTCCACCCCAATGTTCCTCAAAGCCCACCCAGAGATGACCCTGGAGCCCAACCAAGACCCTCCAAATTCACCCCAAATCCCCCAGGACCCTCAGCCAAGGGCACTGCGGGCTCAGTGTCCCCCAGCTCAGGGGTCTGGGTGCTGCTGAGCTCTGCCCCCACTCTGGGGGCTCCCCCTCACTCCAGGACCCCCATCACCCCCATTGTCACCAACCCCGGCGGTGCCACCAGGTACAGCCCCCGATGACAGCCAGGAGCAGGAGCAGGAACAGGAGGGTCCTGCCGACATTCACAGCCATTGCTGGGGACAGAGGGGACACATTGGGGTCACCCTGAACTGCAGGAGTCCTGAACACCCCAGCCACCCTGTGTGACCCCACCTGTGTCCCTGTGTCCCTGTGGTGTCACCTCCAGTGCCAGCTCAGGGCTGAGTGCCCGGAACACGTGGTGCCCGTCCTGTCCCAGCTGGTTGGTGGCCACGCACTGGTAGGGCCCGAATGTCCCACATCGATGTCCACGAGCTCCAGGAGGGGACCCCGGGCCACCTCCTGCCCGTTGTGCAGCCAGGTGAAGGTGACAGGGGCTGAGCCCACCTGCACCGAGCAGCGCAGGGTCACGTTGTCACCTGTGTACACCTGGTGTGACAGGGGACCAGGGGTGATGGTGGCATTGGCCACGGGCACTGTGGGGACACAGGACAGAGGGTGATGGTGGCATTGACCACGGGCACTGTGGGGACACAGGACAGAGGGTGATGGTGGCATTGGCCACAGGGACACAGACAGGGCTGAGGGCACAGGGAGGGGCTGGCAGCCGTTGTGGGGGGATAGGGACAATGGGGATGGGTGTGGTGGGGGATGTGAGGGATGGGGTCACACCAAGGAGGGGTGAGGGGACACAGGGCAGAGGTGGGAGGACACAAGGAATGTGTCTGGGGGACACGCAGGTCCCCAGCCAGGGGATTGGGGAGGGATGTGAGGGCTCCCCGTGCCCATCCCCGCACTCACTGGGCACGGTCACAGTGACGCGGAGCCGGGCGCTGCTCTTGCGCACGGTCCCACCCTGGGACTGCACCTCACAGCTGTAATTCCCCGAGTGGGAGACCCCCACGGCGGGCAGCAGCAGCTGCCGCGACCCCTGCGGGCCCCCCACCACCCACCCGTCCCGATAGAACCGGTACAGGAGGGGGGCTGGGGGCCGCAGGGGGCTGGGGGTGCTGCGGCAGCTGAGAGTCAGGGGGGACCCCACGGTGAGCTCGGGGGGACCCTGCAACACCGGGACTGAGAAGAGCTCTGGGAAGGAGAGAGGAGGGGATTTGTGAGCCTGAATCCCTGGGGAGGGGCTGTGGGGGTGTCGGGGTGGGGGCTGTGGGGGGCTCACCGTGTACTGTCACTCTCACTGGCACTGACCACCACCACTTCTCTGACGTCGAGTATCCCACCCGGCCCTTGCAGCTGTAGTTTCCGCTGTGGTTCAGCTGCAGAGGGGGCAGGGACAGCTTGGTCCCATTGCCGAGTCCCTCCAGTTCCTTCATCTCTCGGTAGAAGGACACCGAGGTGACCGTGCTGTTCTTCCAGCCCCGGCAGCGCAGTGTCACCGTGTCCCCCTCCAGCAGCACCCGCACCGGCACCTGCAGCACCAGCAGGTCTGGGGACAGAGGGGACTTGTCACACCCGATGGCACCAGGACCCCCCATTGGAGGGTCCAGCGCAACAAAGGTCCCAAGCTCCTGCACTGGGATCCCCCAACACTGGGATGTCCCCAGGGCAGGGGACAGGCTCTGGTCACACAGGAGGTGACCCATGGAGCGGAGCACACCCAGAGCCCTTGGGGTCCCCATGGTGCCAGGCTGGGGGCACCCAAACCCCGCTCACCATTTGAGACAGTCACAGGGGGGCTGTGCCCACTGCCAGGTCTGTAACACCTATAGGTGCCACTCTTGGTGACAGTGAAGTGATCACGTCCCTTCTGCCCCCAGTACAGCCCGTTTCTGTACCAGGCGGTGGCACCAGCTGTCCCCGAGCCCTTGCAGGTCAGTGTCACCCAGTCCCACAGCACCGCCGGCCTCCAAGGAGAATCCACCAGGAGCCGGGTGGTCTGGGCATCTGTGGGTGACAGGGGACACCAGCCTGCCAGGGCCACCATGGGGCTGGGGACAGCGGGATGGGACCATGGCATCCCCCGAGGACTCACCAGCGAGGCCGAGGGTCTGGGCTGGAAGGGAAAAGGGACAGCGATCAGTGAGGGTGGCACTGTGGGGACAGCAGCTCGGGCACACAGAGGGTGTTGGGCAGCTTGATGTCCCCAAACTGTCCCCATGGGGTCAGCAGTTCTTGTGGAAAAGTGTGTCCGGTTGGTCCCCAAAAGATTTGGCGAGGCCAGGGGGACATGTTGGTGTCACAGCCACCCGTGCACCACATTCGTGTGGCACAGACACCTTGGGAACAGGGACACTGAGGCCACTGGGGGCTGGGGCCGAACATGGGGACACCGTGGACACCCCGGGCACGAGGACAGCACGGACACGGCCCATGCTGGCCCAGGTCACCCCCAGCAGCTCATGATCCCATCCCCCTGATCCCATCCCCATGGCCACATCCTCACCATTCTTGTCCCCTTCTGTCCCTGCATCCCAGTTCCCTTGTCCCTATGCCCAGAGCTACCTAAGCCCAAAGGTGCCAGTCCCCACATTCCTGTCCCCACATTCCTGTCCCCACATTCCTGTCCCCTGTTTGTGTCCCCAAAGCCACCCTACATCCCCAGTCCCACCAAGGTCCACTGTGGGTATCATGTACTGGCACTGCTGGCATTGGGGACCTCAGGGGACCCCACACCCGCCCTGTGCCCCCTCCCCATCCCAGGGGTCTCAGCCCCGTGCCCCGGGGCACTCACCCCACAGGAGCAGCGCCACCTTCCCTGCCATCCCGCTGTCCCCAGCCATGTGCACTGGCTGTCACTCACTGCCAGGGGTGGCTGTCCCCTTGCTAGTGGCTTTTCGGATAAAGGGGAAGGAAGAGAGGTCATGTCTCGTCCTCACGTGTTGGTGGTGGCCCTTGGTGGGGGCAGGGTGGCCACAAGCACGGGGTCATGGGGATGTGGCCGTGGGGACAGGCTGTGGGAAGGGAGGGGACAGTCTGGGGACAAGGCTGGGGGAGACAAGGTGGGACGTGGGGGTCCCAGGAGTGGGGGGCTCAGAGGGTTTGGGGACCCGGGCAATGGGTGCCCAGGGGAATGTGGGGTCCCAGGGGAATGGGGTCCCTTGGAATGGGGGTGCCCAGGGCTGGGGGGACTCAGGGATGGGAGTCCCAGGGGGACATGGGCTCCAGGGATTTGGGGTCTTGGGATGGGGATGCTGGGGGAATGGGGGTTCCCATGGGAATGTGGGTTCCCGTGGGAATTGGGGGTCCTGGGACAATCAAGGTTCTGGGGAAAGGAGGATTTCAGGGGATGGAACGGACAGGAGAGGGTTCCTTGGGAATGGGGTGCTGGGCCATGGAGATCCTGGGGAATGGCAGTGCTGGGATGGGGGTCCCAGGCATGGTGGGACACAAGGAATGGGGGTCCCATGGTTGGGTTCCCAGGGGAATGGGGGTGCCAGGGAAGGGCAGTGGCTGGATGGGCCTGTGGATCTCAGCTCCTTCCCTGGGTGTCTCAGATTTTGGGGTGACCCAGAGCCCAGCACAGCCCCCACAAGGTGCCAGCGGCCTGAGGGTCACCCCAGACAGATTCCAATGTGCTCTGTGTCTGTGTCCCCACAACCCCGGGGACTTTTCCTTCTCTTAATTTCCATTTCCATCATTTCATCCCCCAATTTCACCAATCCCCAGTTCATGCCTTGATGATCCTGGGGAGCTCCTGAGCAGGGAAGGGGTTGGGGGGAGCCCAGGGTGGGGGAAGCAGGGGTGAGGGGTCTGCAGAGAGGGCTGGGGAGGCTGTGGGGGATGGGGGTTTCTGACTGTGCTCCCCCAATTCTTTCACTTCCTCTCTCATGCAGCAGAAGGAAGAGGCGCACTGAGGAGTGGGTTCTGTTCTTGGGGGGCAAATCCAGGGGGTTCTTGTCCTGAGGGGGACGTGTGATGGCCATGAGGGTCCTGTCCTGGAAGATGGCAGCTCTGGAGGCATCCAGACTTCTCCATTCTTGCTTGTCTCCTGCTGGATCAGAGCCGGCAAGAGAAAATGGGGAATGAAGCCCTGGGAAGGAAGGAGATCCCAAAATTCTCCTTGAAGCCTGTGGTTACACAAGGATGGGGCACAGCTATGGCCCACAGGCCCCCAAACACAAATCCTGCCCCGTTTCCCTGGCAAACAAAAGTCTGTTGCCAGGCTCCTGTTGGCAGATTGCAGGAGCCCCTTGGCATTCCCAGAAAATTCCTTAAAATCTCCCACCAAAAAAACCCACCTAAATTAGCCTTAAAAAGCCATGAAAAAAACCTAAAAAAAAAAAAAAACCAAAAAAAACTTCTCAGCCCCCAACACCTACCTGTGTCTAGCCCACAAACATCATCCCTGCCTTTTCATTGGGGTAGCTGCCTGCAGCTGCTGGAAGGGTTTTGGGGCTGTCCCAAAATTAGGGTTGCTGTGTTGTGCTGGGAGGGTTTTGGGGGTGTCCCACCATTGGGGTCACTGCCTGCACCTACTGAGAAGGTTTTGGGGCTGTCCCAAATTTAGGATTGCTGTGCTGTGCTGCTGGGAGGGTTCTGGGGCTGTCCCAAATTTAGGGTCGCTGCCTTGTGCTGCTATAGGGGAACACTGGTGTTCTAGGGGTGCTGTTTAGGGTGAGCTCAGGGTTGGGGTGAGGGCTGCTGCACCTGGACCCTAACCCTAAGGGGACAGGCAGGACATGGGGACAGATAGGGACACAGACACACAGGACATGGGGGACACAGGACATGGGCACGTAGGGTGCAGGACACATGGGGACACATGGAGACACACAAAAGGACATGGGGGACATACAGAGGACACATGGGGACAGACAGACACAGGGACACAGGGACAGACAGGCATGGGGACAGAGGGCACAGGGACAGAAAGGCACAGGGACAGACAGACACACAGGACGCAGGGACAGACAGGGACACGGACACACAGGACATGGGGACAGACAGGCATGGGGACACATAGGACATGGGGGACAGAGAACATGGACATGTAGGGTGCAGGACACATGGGGACACACACAAAAAGGCATGGGGGACATACAGAGGACGCACGGGGGCAGACAGACACAGGGACACACAGGGACACACAGGACAAAGGGACACACAGGCACAAGGACATGGGGCATGCAGACACAGGGACACACAGATAGACAGGCATGGACACACGGGACACTGGGACACAGGACATGGACACAGAGGATGCAGGACCCCTGGGGACACACACAGGACATGGACATGCAAGAGGACAGGAGGGACACACAGGGGACACATGGGGACACACAGAACTGTTCTTGTGCTCCTGTCTGCCATGAGTGACCGAGGGTGACGCTGTCCCCGCCATGTGACAGTGACAGTGCACGGTGACCCCACACCCCGACACCCCCAGAGCCCCTCTGCAGGGGCTTGGGGTCACACGAGTGACGTCACCGCACTGCACCGCCGCAAACAGCGCCCCCTTCCTGTTCCCAGGGAAACCGCACCCCCTGTTTCCATGGCAACACACATCCTGTTCCCATAGCAACAGCATCCCATCTCCATGGCAACAGTCCCCCGCTTTATGTCAGCAACTCCCTCTCCCCATGCCCTCAGCCCCCCAGTCCCATGGCAACAACACCTTTCTGTTCCCATGGCAACAGCCCCCTCCCGGTTCCCACGCCCACAGCCCCGTCGTTACCATGGCAACATCCCCTCCCATTCCCATGCTTACACGCCCCCCCCCATTCCCACGGTAACAGCCCCCCAGGCCCATGGCACGTGCAGCCCCCGTTCCCATGGTAACAACCCCTCGGTTTCCATGGCAACACCCCCTCCTTCCCATGACAACAGCCCCGTTCCCATGGCAACACCCCATTCCCACGCCCACAGCGCATGCGCCGCGCTGTCCCCGCCTCCCCGTCTCTTTGACTGCATTTCCCGTCACCCCCCGCGGCCCGCGGCGCGCTAACGGCTCTCGGCAGCTCCGCGGACTCCATTTCCCATCCCTCCCCGCGGCGAGGACGGGAGGGGCGGGTCCCTACGGCGGCCGTCGCGGGCCTGGTCTCGTGACGCGCGCCGTGCGCGGACGCCAAGATGGCGGACGAGGAGGGCGAAGCGCGGCCGGGGGCGCGGAACGGGGCCGGGGAGGGACCCCCGGGCGGGCCCCGCGTCGTCCGCATCGTCAAGTCCGAGTCGGGCTACGGCTTTAACGTCCGCGGGCAAGTGAGCGAAGGCGGGCAGCTGCGCAGCATCAACGGCGAGCTGTACGCGCCGCTGCAGCACGTCAGTGCCGTGCTGGGCGGAGGGGCCGCCGACCGCGCCGGGGTGCGCAAGGGGGACCGCATCCTGGAGGTGTGAGTACGGGGGGGCCGCCCACCCACAGCCCCCCGGCAGCCGGGCCCGGGAACGCGCCCCACACGCACGGGCAGTCCCGGGGGAGCGGGAACTGAGCGGGAATGGGGGTCCTGAGGGGGCTCTGGGGGGGCTGGGGTCCATGAGGGGACTCTGGGGGCCATGAGGGGGCTCTGAGGGGCCCGGGCTGAGGGGACACCGAGCCCTTGGTGCGGTGTTGGGGTACTGAGGGGCTCTGCGGGGCCTTGGGTGAGGGTGTCATGAGGGGAATTGAGACCCCCGGCTCTAGGGGGGATTTGGGGGGTCGTGAGGGGCCTGAGGATCGCGTGATGAGGAGGGACTGAGACCCCCGGCCCTTGCTGGGGGTTTGGGGGGGAATCCTGAGGGGGCTGAGCGCCCTTTGATGAGGTTTGAGGGGTTTGGGGGGCTCTGAGGGTCCCCTGGTGAGGGTGTGACTGGGGAGGAGGGAGAGCCCCCCAGATTCGTGGGGATTTGGGGCGTGGTGAGGGGGATGAGAGTGTCGTGAGGGGGATGAGGGTGTCATGAGGAAGGGTTGAGACCCCCGACCCTTGGAGGGGATCTGGGGGTCCTGAGGAAGCCCTGAGGGGGCTGAGGTTCCCTTGGTGAGGATGTCATGAGAAGGAGTTGAGACCCCTGGCCCTTGGTGGGAATTTGGGGGGATCCTGAGCAGGCACCAAGGGGGCAGAGGATCCCTTGGTGAGGTTTAGGGTCTCTGAAAGGGGGGTCTTGAGGGGGCTGAGGGTGCCTTGCTAAGGGTGCCATGAGCCCCCAGTCCTTGAGGGGAATTTGGGGGGTCCTGAGGTGGAGGCTGAGCCCAGACTGAGCCCCACAACCTTTGCGGGGGGTTTTGGGGGGGGTCTTACAGGAGCCTCTCAAGGGGGAACCCTTGGATTTCAATGTGGGGATGCTCCTGAGGAGGTTGGGACGGAATTTTTAGGGATAAACTCTTTGGATTTCAATGTGGAGACTCCTAGGAAGGGCAGAGGGGGTTTTTAGGGAGAAACCCCTCAGATTTCAGTGTGAGGACCATCCTGGAGAGGGCAAAGCACCATTTTTAGGGATAAACCCCTTGGATTCCAACCTGCAGACGCTTCCTTCCCATTCCTGCCTCTCGTGTTCTCCAGCTGCTTCTTTTTCACACCCAAAATTGTAACTTTACCCCAGAAAACACATTCCCATGTCAATATTCCTGCTGTGTGGAAACTCATCTTCCTTTCCCCCTAAAAAAAAAAAACCCTTAAACTTTGTTTATGGGCTGAAATCCCTCAAACCCCAGTGTGGGGTTCGGTTTTCAGGGATCCCTCTGGATCCTCCCACCGTCACACTTCGCTCCGGGTCGGTTAAGTGCAATTACTGATTAATTCCAGGGATTTCCGAGCTGCAGGAATGTTTTGCTGCCAGCTCTGGAAGTCCAAGGGGTGTGAGGAGCTGCCTGTGGCCGGTGAATCCTGCAGAAATCCCAGCTGGGATTTGGCTCTGTCCCAGCTGACCCAAATTCCCGATTCTTTGATTTTTCTGTGCAGGAGAAGCGCTGGGAGCAGGAGAAATTCTGCACCTGGATGTGCCAATTTGGGGAGCAGTGTTCTCAAACTGAGGGGGGAGGGTTTTGTGGGCACTGGGATGAAATTTGCCCTCATTTTTGAGCGTTTTGGGGAACTTTTAAATCACTGAGTTTGGCATGAGAGAGAGGGGCTGGAATTTTGGGGTTCAGTGGCCGGTGCCAGGTGAGGACTGGGGGATGATGTGTGAAATAATTAAGCCCTGGGGTTAATGATGGTTAATGGAGGGGGTTTGCTTGTGGTCTCCCAGTCCTGGTATCCCTATGGGAGGTGGAAGGATTGGGAATTTCCTCTTGGTTTATCCTTTTATTTCCTGGGAGAGGTGGCTTTAATTTGTCCCTGTGTCCTGTAGGGCTGCCAGGTTGGCTCTTGCCCTATTCCAGTATTTATGTGTCCCAATATTTCAATATTCCAGTATTTATGTATCCCAATATTTCAATATTCCAGTATTCCTGTATCCCAATATTTCAATAATCCAGTGTTCTTGCATTTCAATATTTCAATTTCCCAACAGCCCCGTTTTCCAATATTTCAATATTCCAATATTTCAGTATCCCTGTGTTCCAATATTTCAATATTCCAATATTTTAATATTCCTATATTTCAGTATTTCAGTATTTCTGTGTACCAATATTCCAATATTTTAATATTCCTATATTTCAGTTTTTTAGCAGTCCTGCTTTCCAATATTTCAATATTCCAATATTTTAATATTCCTATATTTCAGGTTTTTTAGTATTCCTGCCTTCCAATATTCCAATATTCTTATGTTTCAATATTCCAATATTTCACTGTTTCAATATCCCAGTATTCCAACACTGGGAATTCCTATTTCCCTATATTCCAATAATTTAATGTTCCAATATTCCAACAGTTCAATATTCCAATATTTCAGTATTGCAATATCCCAGTATTCCAACACTGGGAATTCCTATTTCCCTATATTCCAATATTTCATTATTCCTATATTTCAATATTTCAACATTTCAATATTCCAATATTTCAGTATTGCAATATCCCAGTATTCCAGCACTGGGAATTCCTATTTCCCTGTATTTTAATACACCAATATTCCCATAACCCAATGTCCCCATATTCCAGTATTTCTATTTTTCAATATTCCAAGATTACCCAGTTCCCACATCCCAGCATTCCCATCTTTTGCTCCAGAAACCAAAAATTCCCGACTCTGGCAACATTGAACCCCCCTCATTTTCCTCAGCTCTGTGAAAATCCCAACTCCTGGAATTCCTGGAGGAGGAAACAATAACCCAGGAGTCCCAAAATAGCTCGGATTTCCCTTCCTTTCACGGGAGCAGCGGGATCGGGGCGGGAAATCCGCTCTCCCGGCCACCCTGGTTCCTCCAGAGGGAACTCCCCAAAATCCAGGCCCTGGAGGAGCTGCCTGAGTGGGTTTGGGGTGTTCAGGATCTCCTTCCCACCTCCTGGAATTCCCAGCAGAATTTTTGGGGAGGTTGTTCTGCTCCTGAGGGATTCCTGCTGGGATTTATGGGGGATATTTGGGATGTGGGCACTCACCTGTGGCTCTGGCACAGCACAGCTCATCCCTATCCTGGAAAACCCTGGAGGTCACCCATCCAAGGGTGTTTTCCATGAAAAATTAATTCTTCCCAATCCTGGATTTGGGATGTTCAGGGTGTTGATTCCATGCAGGATTTCCTCTCCAGCTCCTGGAATTCCCAGCAGAATTTTTGGGGAGGTTGTTCTGCTCCTGAGGGATTCCTGCTGGGATTTATGGGGATATTTGGGATGTGGACACTCACCTGTGGATCTGGCACTCCATAGCTAATCCTATCCTGGAAAACCCCGAAGATCACCCATCCAAGGGTGTTTTCCGTGAAAAGCCCACTCTTCCCCATCCTTTTCTGACACCAAGGGATGCTCCAGGTCCTTTTTCCATCCTTCCCTCCCAGATCCAGCATCCAGCTCCTCCCTGTGCCTTCCCAGGCTCTGGAATGCTCTGGAATCTGCAGGGACAGACAATGGGAGCTAATTGAGCTCTTGAGTAACTCATGGAATGTCGATAATCACCAATCCACCAGGAAGAGGAGCTCTGGAGCTGTTTGAGGAAGGACAGAATGGAGGAAAAAGGGATTTATCCCCAACACTGAGTGAGAAAATGGCCGGATTTAGGTGGGGTGGGCAGGGCTGGGGCATCTTGGATCCCACCAGACTCATTCCTGCTGCAGGGAAACCTCTGGAACACTGGGAAGGTGTCAGGTTTTGATGGAATAACCTCTGGAATTGGCGTCTTCCCAACATTCATGGGTGAGGCCAAAGGCTTTTCCCTCAGGAGGTTGGATGGTCCCTCTTTCCATGGGCTCAATTTCCATTTTATGGGATGGGAGAAGCCGGCTCTGCCTTGGAAAGGTCTGGAATGGTCTCTGCACTGCAGTGGGAGCTGCTGGCTCGGCGCATTCCTGGTGTTCTGCTCACCAAAGGAATTCACCCCGGGAACAGGCAGTGGGAATTTCCTTGTCCAGAGGCTCTGAGGGGTCTTCAACCTTGGAAAATTTCGGAAATGGATTGGAAGTGGAAGCTAAAATCCCTTTGATCATCAGCTGATTGCTCTTCCCATTCTTTTCTTTCCCATTTCTTCCCTTTTCCCTCCCATCTCCTTCCCTTCCCATCCCTCTGGAATTTCTCGGATCCTTCATGCACCCCATCCATTCCCAGGGATCTCCATCTCCAGGATGCTCCTTGCCTGGTTCCTCACAGTGAATTCCCCTGACAGACCCCAAGTCAGGGAATTTTCCCAAATCCTGGTGGAAAATGACTCAATCCCTGTCAGAACAGGAACCCTGGAATGTTTTCTGTGTCATAGGGCTCTTGCTCATCCGTATTGGCGTGATGGGAATTCTGCTTCATCTTCCTGCTTTGGAAGAGCAACTCTGCTTTTCCCAAAGGAAGATTCCCAGATTCCAGGATCTCCCAGCCTTTGCCAGCAGCTCTGTTTTTCCCAATAGAAGAATTCCAGACCTGGCCCAGCTGGTGGATGAGATGTTTTCCACATTGCATCCATTATATCCAGGGAATGTTGCACTGATATGAGGAGTTTCTTCCCATCTCCCTGGAAAAGGGGTGGGAGAGGAATTCCATGAGAAATCCAACCTCCAGCTTCCACCCATTGAATCCAAAGCTTTTCCCATGGTGACCTTCCCGTGGAATGTAGGAAAAAGAGGCTCTTCCATCCTGTAGTGGGAAATACCAGAACCTCCTGCTCTGGATAGAGCCCCTTCTACATTCCCAAAAAAGGGATTTATCAGAGGAAGTTGCTCCTGGAATGCTGCTGGGAATGGCTCTCCTCAGTTTCCCATCCTGTGGAAGAGAGTCGTGGCTGCGGATCCGCCTTCCCAGCAGGAAGGATCCCGTGAATCTGGTGTCATCTCTTGGATCTTGATGTCCTTTCCCTGCTCCCCTCGCATTCCCTGGATTCCCTGAAGGATCAGAGCAACACCTGAATCCATTTTCCAGCTCCAAGCAGAGCCGGAAACTTGAGGAGCAAAACATCCCAGTGTTCCTTTTTCTTGGGAAGAGGCTCCTGGATCCCATCTGGATTTAATATTCCTGGATTCCAGCTTCCATTGCCATGGTGACTTCATCCCAAAGTTCTGACTCCTGCTCCTTGGAGACACGAGCAGGGAAGCATCCAAGCTTGGGAAGACCCTCTGGGAGTAATGGGGAGCCAGCATTTTTGGGAATGGAATTATTTCTTTTTGGGAATTCTGGGTCCTGTCTGTGCCCCTTTCCCAGAATTTGCTGTTGGCTCTGGGAGAAAACATCCAAGGTTTGCTCCATTATCCCTTTTCCCTGGAATGATACAGAAGCTCCAACAGGTTTGGATAACCTTGGGTAGTGTTGGAGCTGGAGGAAACTTTTCCAGCTCCTGGAAGAGTTGGAATTTTTGAAACCTGGATCTCTCACCTGGATTTGTAAGCAGGGATCCGACCTTTCGAGGGTGATTTCCTGGTAAGGAAAAATTCCATAGAAATGGAAGGATGGGACTGGTCAGAGCTGTTCCCTTCCCTTGGAGAGCTGGGAATTGAAGGCCAAATCCCACTCTGGATCCTGGGACCAGCCAGCAGCACAGAATGAGGACAATTCCAAGCTTTTTGGTGGAGAAATTCCTTGGTGGGAATTGGGATTGTGGCGGCGTCACCAGGACGAGAAATTCCAAGCAACTTTTGTGGAAGGGATCCCTTGTCTCCAAAGCAGCTTGGGAATGTCTTGGGTCTCCAGCACTTCATGGGATTCTGGGAGGTTTGGGATTGACTGGGATGTTTTCTCCTGGGCAAGTTGGCCAAGATGTGATCCAGATTTTCTGGGCAAAGCCAGATCCTTTCCATGAGGTTTTTGGGAATATCAGGAATGTTCTCTGAGGGGGGCTTGGGAATATCTGCAGCACTTCCATGGGAATTTGGGATTTGTTCCCTTTAGGAACAGGGTGAATGTGGAGGGAGCCACGCACAAGCAGGTGCTGGATCTGCTCCATGGGAATTTGGGATATTTTTCCCTTTAGGAATGGGGTGAATGTGGAAGGGGCCACGCACAAGCAGGTGGTGGATCTGCTCCATGGGAACTCAATGGAAATTTGGGATATTTTTCCGTGCAGGAATGGGGTGAACGTGGAAGGAGCCACCCACAAGCAGGTGCTGGATCTGCTCCATGGGAACTCAATGGGAATTTGGGATATTTTTCCCTTTAGGAACGGGGTGAACGTGGAAGGAGCCACGCACAAGCAGGTGGTTGATCTGCTCTGTGGGAATTTGGGATATTTTTCCCTTTAGGAATGGGGTGAATGTGGAGGGAGCCACGCACAAGCAGGTGGTGGATCTGCTCCATGGGAACTCAATGGGAATTTGGGATATTTTTCCCTTTAGGAATGGGGTGAATGTGGAAGGGGCCATGCACAAGCAGGTAGTGGATCTGATCCATGGGAATTCAATGGGATATTTTTTCATGCAAGAACGGGGTGAACGTGGAAGGAGCCACGCACAAGCAGGTGGTGGATCTGCTCCATGGGAACTCAATGGGAATTTGGGATATTTTTCCGTGCAGGAATGGGGTGAACGTGGAAGGAGCCACGCACAAGCAGGTGGTGGATCTGATCCGCGCCGGCGAGAAGGAGCTGGTGCTCACGGTGCTGTCGGTGCCGCCGCACGAGGCCGAGAGCCTGGAGCCGCCCGAGGAGCCGCTGGGGCCACCCTTCTACGACTACAGCGAGAAGCAGGCGGTGCCCATCTCCATCCCCACCTACAAACACGTGGAGCAGAGCGGGGAGAAGTTTGTGGTGAGGCTCCTTTCCCCCCTGGGAATGGGGGGAAATCTGTGGGTTTGGGGTTTTGGTTGTTTGTGGGGTTATGGGGGTTGTTTGCACTAAGTAGAGGGGTTGAAATGTAGGATTGTTGAAATATGGGAATGTAGGGATGTTATGATATAGGATATAGGAATGTTAGGACATACGAATTTTATGATATAGGATGTAGGAATGTTGGAATATTAAACATAGGAATATAGGATTGTTGGAATATTAGAATACGTTGGAATACAGGAATGCTGAAATTTAGAAATATTGGAATTTAGGGAAGCAGGGCTGTTGGAATATTGAAATTGAGGAATATTGAAACATAGGATTGTTGAAATATAAGAATGTTGGAATATAGGAATATAGGACTATTATGGTATAGACATGTTGGAATATTGAACATAGTAATACAAGACTGTTGCAATATTGCCATATATTGGAATAAAGGAATGCTGAAATTTTGGAATGTTGGAATTTAGGAAAACAGGGCTGTTGGAATACAGGAATGCTGAAATTTAGAAATATTGGAAAACAGGGCTGTTGGAATATTGAAATCTAGGAATATTGAAACATAGGATTGTTGAAATACAGGAATATTGCAATATAGGAATACAGTACTGTTATGATACGGGAATGTTGGAATATTGAACATAGGAATACAGGGCTGTTGGAATATTGGAATATATTGGAATATAGGAATGCTGAAATCCCTGAGTTGGATTTGCCCTAAAATCCCATAACTTGGGACTTTGAATGCAACATGAGGAGTTTGGGATCTGTCAGTGTCCTATGGAAAGTATCCATGATCCCACATTCCAAGTTTTGGGGCTTTGGATGAAACATGATGGGGAGTTTGGGATCTCTCTGCATTCCATGGGAAGGAGCCAGGAACTTAAATCCCAAGATTTTGGGCTTTGCATGGAAAATGGGTAGTTTGGGACCTCTCAGTGTCTCGTGGGAAGTATCCATGACCCAGAATCCCAAGATTTGGGATTCCTGAAGCCCTGGAATGCCGGGATCAGCAGGGACAGCTCCCATCTCCAGCTCAGCACGTTCCCCTCCTCTTTCCCCAAACCCTTCTCTCCAGCAGGGCACGGCTGAGCTGTAGGGAACCTTTGGGAACATTTGGTAATTGTGGGGGCTCTCTCCCCAGGTGTACAACGTTTACATGGCCGGGAGGCAGCTGTGCTCCAAGCGCTACCGGGAATTCGCCATCCTGCACCAGAACCTAAAGCGCGAATTCGCCAACTTCACCTTCCCGCGCCTGCCCGGCAAGTGGCCGTTCTCGCTGTCCGAGCAGCAGCTGGACGCCCGCAGGAGGGGCCTGGAGGAGTACCTGGAGAAGGGTGAGCTGCTCCCAGAGTCCCGCCTGGAGCCTAAATCCATCCTCATCCCAATCCCGCACCCCAAAATCCATCCCAGGCCAATCCTGCACTCCAAAATCCCTTCTCAGCCCAAAATCCACCCTCAGCCAAAAATCAGTCATCTCAAAATCCCTCCCAATCTCTAAATTCATCCTCAGCCCAATCTCGCACCCCGAAATCCCTCCTGGACCCTAAATCCATCCTCATCCCAATCCCGCACCCTGAAATCCCTCCTTGACCCTAAATCCATCCTCAGCCCAATCCTGTGCCCCAAAATCCCTCCTCGTCCCAAAATCCCTCCTCAGCCAAAAATCAGTCATCTCAAAATCCCTCCCAATCTCTAAATTCATCCTCAGCCCAATCTCGCACCCCGAAATCCCTCCTTGACCCTAAATTCATCCTCAGGCCAATCCCGCACCCCAAAATCCATCCTCATCCCTAAATCCATCCTCAGCCAAAAATCTCTCCGCTCAAAATCCCTCCTCGACCCTAAATCCATCCTCAGACCAATCCCGCACCCCAAAATCCATCCTCAACCCTAAATCTGTCCTCAGGCCAATCCCGCACCCCAAAATCCATCCTCATCCCTAAATCCATCCTCAGCCAAAAATCTCTCCGCTCAAAATCCCTCCTCGACCCTAAATCCATCCTCAGACCAATCCCGCACCCCAAAATCCATCCTCATCCCTAAATCCCTCCTCAGGCCAATCCCGCACCCCAAAATCCCTTCTCAACCCTAAATCTGTCCTCAGGCCAATCCCGCACCCCAAAATCCATCCTCAGCCAAATCCCGCACCCCAAAATTCCTCCTCAGCCCAAAATCCCTCATCCCAAAACTCTTCCTCATCCCAAAGTCCCTCCTCATCCCAGAAACCCTCACCCTAAAACCCCTCACCCCAAAACCCCTCACCGGCATTCCCTGGGTGATTCTTGGTCCATTTGTGGGTTTGCTCTGGGAGGTTTGGGGTGGTTGGGTGGGATTTTGGGGTGGAGTTTCTTGGAGAGGGTCTGGATCCATGAGGGACACCAGGACCTGGAGAACATGGGGTTAACGGTGACCCTGGGGACAGGAGGTGACAGAGGTGATCCAGGTGACCAGAGGTGACCCAGGGGACACTCCTGGGACTGGTCCACCTTGGAGAAGGTCTGGATCTGTGAGGGACACCAGGACATGGAGAACATGGAGTTAACAATGACACTGGGGACCGGAGATGGCACAGGGGACAGCAGGTGGCCCAGGGGACACTCAGTCACCTTGGAGAGGTTCTGGATCCTTGAGGGACACCAGGACATGGAGAACATGGGGTTAATGGTGACACAAGGGACAGGACGTGACTCTGGGGACACTCAATCACCTTGGAGAGGTTCTGGATCCTTGAGGGACACAGGACATGGAGAACATGGGGTTAATGGTGACACTGGGGACAGGAGGTAACAGAGGTGACCCAGGTGCAGGAATTCCCTTCAGGATGAGTTGGGATGATGGGATGGGTTGCTGGGCTGCCCCTGGAGGGAACATTCCCAGGTCCTGGTGACATTCCGTGTGACATTCCGTGTGTCCCACAGTGTGCTCCATCCGGGTCATCGGCGAGAGCGACATCATGCAGGAGTTCCTGTCGGAGTCGGACGAGGTGGGTGACGTCATCCCACGGAATTCCATGGAAAAAACTCTTCCATGGAATCACCAAGGTGGGAAAACCCCTCCTGTCCAACTGTCCCCAAAGGCCACCCCTGATCCCTGTCCCCAAGTGCCACATCCGTGGGGTTTTGGGACAGTTCCAACCGTTTTTGGTGGGATTGAGGCTTGGTCCAGCTGAATTCTGTAGGGAAAAAATCTTCCATGGAAAAGCCCTCAGAGCTCCTCATATCCAACTGTGCCCAAGGCCACCCCTGATCCCTGTCCGCAAGTGTCACATCCATGGGTTTTGGGGACAATCCCACCTGATTTTTATGGGACTGGGGCTTGGTCCATCAGAATTCCATGGAAAAAAACCCTAAGGCTTCCATGGAATGTCCAAAGCCGGAAAAGCCTTCAGAGCTCCTCAGGTCCCTCTGTCCCCAAGGCCACCTCTGATCCCTGTCCTCAAGTGCCATATCCACAGATTTTCGGGACAATTCTGCCTGGTTTTTATGGGATTGAGGCACCCCAAGCTCCCAGAATTCCTCCAAACCCCACAATCCTTCAGGATCCTGGGAATGAGCAGGAATTCCAGAGGGTGAATTGCTCCCAAAGCTGGAGCTCCCTGGCCATTCCCTTGGGAGAAAAACCCAACCCCATCCCTCCTCCCATGCTGAATTCCCACTGTGGGATTTTTAGGGATCACAAATAACTGGAAAACCGGGAATTCCTGATTTTTTTGGGATTTTCCCTTCCCTTTTTCCCAGAATTACAACGGCGTCTCCGACGTGGAGCTGCGGGTGGCGCTCCCGGACGTCACCACGGTGACAGTGAGGGTGAAGAAGAACAGCACCACGGACCAGGTGTACCAGGTGAGCCCATTCCCACCTGGAACTGCCCTTCCCACCTGAAATTTCTATCCCCTCAACTGGATTTCCCCACTCTCACCTGGATTTTCTTCTTTTCCCACCTGGAATTTCCTCTTTTCTCACCTGGATTTTCCTCTTTTCCCACCTGGATATTCCTTTCTTCCACCTGGAATTTCCTCCTTTCCCACCTGGAATTTCCTTCCCATCACTGAGTTTTCCTTTCCCACATGGATTTTCTTTCCTTCCACCTGGATTTTCCTCTTTTCCCACCTGGAACTGCCCTTCCCACCTGAAATTTCCATCCCCTCAACTCAATTTTCCTTTTTCCCACCTGAATTTTCCTCTTTTTACAACTGGAATTTCCTCTTTTCCCACCTGGAATTTTCCTCTTTCCCACCTGGAATTTCCTCTTTACCACCTGGAACTGCCCTTCCCACCTGGAATTTCCATCCCCTCAACTCAATTTTCCTTTTTCCCACCTGAATTTTCCTCTTTTCACACCTGGATTTTCTTCTCTCCCACCTGGAGATCTTCTCCTTTTCCCACCTGGATTTTCCTTTCCTCCACTTGGATTTTCCTCTTTCCCACCTGGAACTGCCCTGCCCACCTGAAATTTCCATCCCCTCAACTCAGTTTTCCTTTTTCCCACCTGAATTTTCCTTTTTCACACCTGGATTTTCCCCCATTTTTTGAGGGTTGGGATCCACTGGATCCAAGGATTATGGGGAATTCAATAACACTTTGGAAAAAGGAGATGAAAATTCTGCTGGAAAAGAGTGGGAATTCCAGAATCCTGCAGATAAACGGGATTTGGGTGCGCCCATGGAATTCCACGCCGTGGAATGATCCCGGACGGGAATTTCCAACTCCTTTTCCCTGGGGAATCCAAGCTGGAATTTTGGGGACCCCACAACTTTGACACCCCCAGGAATTGGGGAGCAAAAAGGGGAATGAGGAGCTGGCCTGGCTGTGCCGGCAGAATTCCAACGGGGTTTTCCGTGGTCAGGGAATTCCCGGCAATGCCCGGCTGGCGCTGATCCCGTTTTCCCGGCGTTTTCCAGGCGGTGGCTGCCAAGGTGGGCATGGACAGCGTCACCGCCAACTACTTCGCCCTCTTCGAGGTCATCAACCACTCCTTTGGTGAGCCTGGAATTCTGTGGGATTTAGGGAAAAAATAAAAAGCTGGGAAAAACAAAAATGGAGGGATCTGCAGGTCTTTAGGGTGGGATTGTGGAATTTGTGGGGCTCCTGCCATCCCAGGCTGCTCCAGCCTCGTTTTGGATGATTCCATGATTTTTCTGGGATTTTTCCCTGGTTTTCCCAGTGCAGAAGTTGACTCTTAACGAGTTCCCCCACAAGCTCCATGTGCAGAACCACACCCAGGATTTTTGGGATGTTCCTCCAGATTTTGGAGGGATTTGAGATTGTTCTGGAAGGATTTGGGGATAATTTTGGAAGGGCTTGGGATCATCTTGGAGGATTCGGGGATAATTTATGAAGATTCTGGAGGATTTGGGACCATTCTTGGGGATTTGTTGTCATTCTGGAAGGATTTGGGGTCATTCTGGAAGGATTTGGGACCATTCTGGAGGATTTAGGGTAATTCTGGAAAGATTTGGGATCACTCTGGAAGGATTTGGGGTCATTCTGGAAGGATTTGGGACCATTCTGGAAGGATTTAGGGTAATTCTGAAGAATTTGGGATCACTCTGGAAGGATTTGGGATCATTCTAGAAGGTTTGGGGTCATTCTGAAAGGACTTGGGGTAATTCTGTAATGATTTGATGTCATTCTGGAGGATTTGGGACCATTCTGTAATGAATTGGGGTTATTCTGAAGAATTTGGGACCATTCTGGAGGATTTGGGGTCATTCTGGAAGGATTTGAGATCACTCTGAAAGGGTTTGGAGTCATTCTGGAAGGATTTGGGAATCACTCTGGAAGGATTTGGGATCACTCTGGAGTGATTTGGGGTCATTCTGGAAAGATTTGGGACCATGCTGGAGGATTTGGGGTAATTCTGGAAGATTTGGGATCATTCTGGAAGGATTTGAGGTCATTCTGGAAGGGTTGGGACCATTCTGGAGAATTTGGGACCATTCTGGAAGGATTGGGATCAGTCTGAAAGTAATTGGATCATTCTGTAAGGATTTGGGATCATCCTGGACGATTTGGGGTAATTCTGAAGTATCTGGGACCATTCTAGGAGGGTTTTTTTGATGGTTTCCTGGTGGCAAACCCCATTTTAACGCCGATTCTTTTGGCTCTCCTGGAACCCCTGTCCTCCCCACGCCCTGACCCCGCCATTCCCGGCCTGTGCGGGCTCTCGGGCTGTGCCAGTGCGGAAGTTGGCTCCCAACGAGTTCCCCACAAGCTCTACGTGCAGAACTACACCTCGGCCGTGCCGGGGACGTGCCTGACGCTGCGCAAGTGGCTCTTCACCACCGAGGAGGAGGCGCTGCTCAACGACAACGACCTGGCCGTCGCCTACTTCTTCCACCAGGTACGGAGCTCCCGCCTGGAGTTCCTCTGGAACGGCCCTCTGGGTGGGGAGGACAACTTACGGGGTCACTGGGTCCCATGGTTGATCCATCCCAAGGTGGGATGGGGTTTTGGTTGTTTTTATGGGATTGAGGCACCCAAGGTTCTGAGGCCACCCCAAGGAATTCCACCTGGAATTCCTCTGGAATGCCCCTCTGGGTGGGGAGAACTACTTACGGGGTCACTGGGTCCATGGTTGATCCATCCCAAGGTGGGATGGGGTTTTGGTTGTTTTTATGGGATTGAGGCACCCCAAGGTTCTGAGGCCACCCCAAGGAATTCCCACCTGGAATTCCTCTGGAATGCCCCTCTGGGTGGGGAGAACTACTTATGGGGTCACTGGGTCCCATGGTTGAGCCATCCCAAGGTGGGATGGGGTTTTGGTTGTTTTTATGGGATTGAGGCACCCCAAGGTTCTTGGGCTACCCCAAAGTCCTGCAGGTGAGGAATTCCCACCTGGAATTCCTCTGGAATGCCCCTTTAGGTGGGGAGAACACCTTATGGGGTCCTTGGGTTCCATAGTTGATCCCAAGGTGGGATGGAGTTTGGGTTGTTTTTATGGGATTGAATTCCCACCTGGAATTCCTCTGGAACGGCCCTTTGGGTGGGGAGAACTCCTCATGGGGTGGTTGGATCCCATAGTTGATCCTAAGGCATGATGGGTTTTGGTTGGTTTTATGGGATTGAGGCACCTCAAGGTTCTCCAGCCACCCCACGGAATTCCCACCTGGAATTCCTCTGGAATGTCCCTCCGGGTGGGGAAAATCCCTTATGGGGTCATTAGATCCCATAGTGGATCCCAAGGTAGAATGGGGTTTGGTTGTTTTTATGGGATTGAAATACCTCAAGGTTCTTGGGCCACCCCAAGGTTCTCCAAGGAATTCCCAGCAGGAATTTCTCTGGAATGTCCCTTTGGGTGGAGAAAACCCCTTATGGGGTCATTGGATCCCATAGTTGATCCCAAGGCATGATGGGGTTGTGGTTGTTTTTATGGATTGAGGCACCCCAAGGTTCTCCAGCCACCCAAGGAATTCCCACCTGGAATCCTTTGGAATCCCTTTGGGTGGGAAAAATCCCTTATGGAGTCCTTGGGTCCCATAGTTGATCCCAAGGCGGGACGGGGTTTTGGTTGTTTTTATGGGATTGAGACACCTCAGAGTTCTTGGGCCACCCCAAGGTCCTGCAGGTGAAGAATTCCCAGCAGGAATTCCTACCTGGAATTCCTCTGGAATGCCCCTCCTAGTGGGGAAAACCCCTTATGGAGTCCTTGGGTTCCATAGTTGATCCCAAAGTGGGATGGGATTTTGGTTGTTTTTATGGGATTGAATCCCAAGGTTCCTGGGCCACCTCAAGGTTCTCGGGCCACTCCAAGGTCCTGCAGTTGAGGAATTCCCAGCAGGAATTCCTCTGGAATGTGTCTGGGGAGACCTCCTCATGGAGTCCTTGGAGTCCTCCTCCTTGGGTCCTATAGTTGATCCCAAGGTGGGATGGGGTTTCTGTCATTTTTATGGGATTGAGGCAACCCAAGGTTCTCCGGCCACCCCAAGGAATTCCCACCTGGAATTCCTCTGGAATGTCCCTTTGGGTGGGAAAAACACCTTATGGAGTCCTTGGATCCCATTAGTGGATCCCAAGGTGGGATGGGATTTTGGTTGTTTTTATGGATTGAATCCCAAGTTCTTGGGCCACCCCAAGGTTCTCAGGCCACTCCAAGGTCCTGCAGGTGAGGAATTCCCAGCAGGAATTCCCATCTGGAATTCCTCTGAATGCCCCTTCAGGTGGGGAAAACTCATGGAGCAGTTGGTCCCAAGGTGGGTTGGGGTTTTGGTTGTTTTTATGGGGTTGAGGCACCCCAAAGTTCTCGGCCACCCTAAGATCTCACAGTTCCCTGAGGATGAAGCATGAGGTGGCTCCTCCTCCTCCCATCCCAAATCCTGGATTTTTCCCAGATTTTTCCCATGTTTTTCCCAGATTTTTCCCGTGTTTTTTTTGCCATCTCCAGGCCGTTGATGATGTCAAGAAAGGCTACATCAAAGCCGAGGAGAAATCCTACCAGCTGCAGAAGCTCTGCGAGCAGAGGAAGATGGTCATGGTGAGTGAATTCCCTGGGATCCTGGGGAATTCCCTGAGATCCTGGTGAATCCCAGAATGCTGGTGACTCCTTGGAATGTCCCCATGGAATCCCTGCCCATGTCTGTATCCCGGTGAATCCTGAAATCCTGATGAATCCTGAATCCCAGTGAACCCTGGAATACTGGTGAACCCCTGAAATGCCGGTGAATTCCCTGGAATCCCAGTGAATTCCCTGAGATTGTGGTGAATCCCAGAATCCCAGTGAACCCCTGGAATCCCGTTGAATTCCCAGGTGGATCCTGGTGAATTCCCAGGTGGATCCTGGTGAATTCCCTGGTGGATCCTGGTGAATTCCCAGGTGGATCCCATTGAATTCCCAGGTGGATCCTGGTGAATTCCCTGGTGAATCCTGGTGAATTCCCAGGTGGATCCCATTGAATTTCCTGGTGGATCCTGGTGATTCCCAGGTGGATCCTGGTGAATTCCATTGAATTCCCAGGTGGATCCTGGTGGATTCCCAGGTGGATCCTGGTGAATTCCCAGGTGGATCCCATTGAATTTCCTGGTGGATCCCTGGTGGATTCCCAGGTGGATCCTGGTGAATTCCCAGGTGGATCCCATTGAATTTCCTGGTGGATCCTGGTGGATTCCCAGGTGGATCCTGGTGAATTCCCAGGTGGATCCCAATTGAATTCCCTGGTGGATCCTGGTGGATTCCCAGGTGGATCCTGGTGAATTCCCAGGTGGATCCTGGTGGATTCCAGGTGGATCCCATTGGATTTCCTGGTGGATCCTGGTGGATTCCCAGGTGGATCCTGGTGAATTCCCAGGTGGATCCTGGTGGATTCCCAGGTGGATCCCGTTGAATTCCCTGGTGGATCCCATTGAATTCCCTGGGATCCCAGTGACTCCCTGAAATCCCAGTGAACCCCTGGCATCCTGGTGAATTCCCTGGTGTCTCCCTGGGATCTTGGAGAATTCCCTGGGGTCTGGGTGCCTTCCCTGGCATCCTGATGACTCCCTGGGATCCTGGTGAACCCCTGGGATCCCGGTGCATTCCCTGGGATCTGGGTGAATTCCATGGAATCCCAGTGAACCCTGAAATCCTGATGACTCCCTGGCACCCCGGTGCATTCCCTGAGATCCTGGTGCCTCCCTGGGCCCCCCAGTATTTCCCTGGCATCCCAGTGACTCCCTGGCATCCTGGTGAATTCCTTGGTGAATCTCTGGGATCCTGGTGAACCCTTGGGATCCTGGTGAATTCCCTGGGATCTTGGCAAACCCCTGGCATCCCAGTGAGCCCCTGGGATCCCAGTGCATTCCCTGGTGAATTCCTGGGATCCTGGTGAACTCCTGGTCTCTCGGTGACTCCCTGGGTCCCTGTGCATTCCCTCGTACCCTGGTGCATCCCTGGTCAATCCCTGGAATCCCAGTGACTCCCTGGGTGAGTCAAAACCCAGTGCATTCCCTGGGACCCTGGTGAAGCCTTGGGGTCCTGGTGCATCCCTGGTGAATCCCTGGGATCCTGGTGACTCCCTGGGGTCCCTGTGCATTCCCTGGGATCCTGGTGCCTCCCTGGCACCGTGGTGCATTCCTGAAATCCCAGTGAATTCCCTGAGATCCTGGTGAATCCCACAATGCTGGCGACTCCCTGGCATCCCAGTGAATTCCCTGGGATCCCAGTGCATCCCTGGCGAATCCCTGGAATCTCAGTGACTCCCTGGGGTCCCAGTGCATTCCCTGGGACCCTGCTGAACTCCCAGGATCCCTGGTGCATTCCCTGACATCCCAATGACTCCCTGGGGTCCCGGTGCATTCCCCTGGCACCCTGGTGCAGTCCCTGGCATCCCAGTGAACCCCTGGGACCCTGATGAACCCCTGGCACCCTGGTGCCTCCCCTGGCACCCCCGGTGGACCGGGCTGTCCCCGCAGTACCTGAACATGCTGCGGACGTGCGAGGGCTACAACGAGATCACCTTCCCTCACTGCTCGTGCGACTCGCGGCGCAAGGGCCACGTCATCTCTGCCATCAGCATCCGCCACTTCAAACTGCACGCCTGCACCGAGGAGGGCCAGCTCGAGGTATTCCTGCCAGCCCTGGCTCATCTCTGACCCCACAGCCCTGCCTGTGTGCCCTCCTGGACCCCTGCGGTCACCCCGAATCCCTGGGGTCACCCCAAATCCCTGGGGTTGTCCCTGAGCTCACACATTGGGTTTTACACCATCACCCAAATCCCTGGAGTCACCCCAAATCCCTGGATTGTCCCCGAGCTCGCAGGCTGGGTTTTACACCATCACCCAAATCCCTGGGGTTGTCCCTGAAGCTCTCTGGGATTGTCCCCAAGATCACACCCTAGGTTTTTACACCATCACTGTGTTCCCAAAGCCCTGGGATTGTCCCCAGCCTCACACCTTGGTTTACAGCGTCACTCTGTTCCCAAATCCCTGAGATCATCCCCAAGCTCTCTGGGATTGTCCCCAAGCTCACACCCCTGGGTTTTACACTATTACTGTGTTCCCAGATCCCTGGGATTGTCCTTGAGCTCACAGCCTGGGTTTGACACCATCACCCTGTTCCCAAATCCCTGGGATCATCCAGTTCCCTGGGGTTTGTCCTGGGATTGTCCCTGATTTCACACCCTGGGTTTTACACCATCACCCAAATCCCTGGGGTTGTCCCCGAGCTCACAGTCTGGGTTTTACACCATCACCCCTGTTCCCAAATCCCTAGGATTGTCCCCAAGCTCTCTGGGATTGTCCCCGAGCTCACAGCCTGGGATTTGCAACATCACCATGTTCCCAAATCCCTGGGTTCATCCAGTTCCCTGGGGTTTGTCCTGGATTGTCCCTGAGTTCACACCCTGGGTTTTACACCATCCCCTGCTCCCAAATCTGTGGGATTGTCCCTGAGCTCTCTGGGATTGTCCCCAAGCTCACACCCTAGGTTTTACAGCATCACCCTGTGCCCAAATCCCTGGGATCATCCCTGACCTCAGAAGTTGGATTTGCACCTGCCCCTTGTCCCCAAATCCCTGGGATCATCCCCAGCCCAACACCTTTGGATTTGCACCTGGGCAGCGTTTCCCAAATCCCTGGAGGTTGTGCTGGATAATCCCTGGCACCTCTGGGATTATCCCTGATTTCACACCTTGATTTGCACCTGGACTGTGTTCCTAATCCCTGGGGATCATCCTGATATCCCTGGGATCATCCTGACCTCCCACCTTGATTTGCACCTGGACTGGGTTCCCCAAATCCCTGGGGATCATCCTGATATCCCTGGGATCATCCCTGACCTCAGAACTTGGATTTGCACCTGGACTGTGTTCCTAAATCCCTGGGGATCATCCTCATATCCCTGGGGTCATCCTTGGTCTCCCACCTTGATTTGCACCTGGACTGGATTCCCAAATCTCTGGGATCATCCCCAGCCCAACACCTTTGGATTTGCACCTGGACTGTGTTCCCAAATCCCTGGGGATCATCCCAGTTCCCTGGAATTTATCCTGGGATCATTGCTGACCTCACACTTTGCTTTGCCCCTACCCCATGACCCCAAATCCCTGGAGATCCTCCCAATTCCTTGAATTTACCCTGGGATCATCACTGACCTCACACCTTTGAATTTGCACCTGGACTGTGTTCCCAAATCCCTGGGGGATCATCCCAGTTCCCTGGTAATTTACCCTGGGATCATCACTGACCTCACACAGTTTACAAATCCCTGGGATCTCCCTGAGCTCCCTGCTGGGATTTGGGAACCAGGGGTAACTCTGGGAACCCTCCCTGTGCTAAACCCGAGACCGATCCCCCTTTCCTCTCACCCCCTGACCCACCCTGACCCCGAGGGCTCCCCTGTCTGGGGTCCTGGCTCAGCTCCCTGGGTTTGGGGGATTCACAGAACCAGGTGATCGCCTTCGAGTGGGAGGAGATGCAGCGCTGGGACACGGACGAGGAGGGCATGGCCTTCTGCTTCGAGTACGCGCGCGCCGAGAAGAAACCGCGCTGGGTCAAGATCTTCACCCCCTACGTGAGTGTCCGATCCCTCAAATCATGCCCAGAATGCACTCAAACCCCGCCCAGAATTGCCTCAAATCCCACCCAGAATTCCCTCAAACCCCACCCAGAATTGCCTCAAATCCCGCCCAGAATTCCCTCAAATCCCACCCAGAATTGCCTCAAACCCTACCCAGAATGCCCTCAAATCCCACCCAGAATTTCCACAAACTCTGCCTGAAATTCCCTCAAATTCCGCCAGGAATTCCCTCAAATCCCGCCCAGAATGCCCTCAAATCCCACCCAGAATTCCCTCAAATCCCACCCAGAATTGCCTCAAACCCTGCCCAGAATGCCCTCAAATCCCACCAAGAATTTCCACAATTTTTTCTTTTTACCACAAGAATTCCCTCAAATCCCGCCCAGAATGCCCTCAAATCCCACCCCAAATTCCCTCAAACCCCATCCAGAATTGCCTCAAATCCCACCCAGAATGGCCTCGAATCCCGCCCAGAATTCCCTCGAATTCTGCCAGGAATTGCCTCAAATCCCACCCAGAATTGCCTCAAACCCTGCCCAGAATTCCCTCAAATCCTGCCCAGAGTTGCCTCAAATCCCGGCCAGAATTCCCTCAAACCCCACCAGGAATTCTCTCAAATCCCACCCAGAATTCCCTCAAATCTGACCCCAAATTCCCTCAAACCCTGCCTGGAATTTTCCTCAAACCCCACCCAGAATTCCCTCAAACCTGCCTGGAATGCTCTCAAACTCTGCCTAGAATTCCCTTGGGAATGAGATGTGTGAGTGTCCCAGTCCTGCCTAGAATTCCCTCAAATCCCACCCGGAATTCCCTTGGGAATGGGATTGTGAGTGTCCCTGTCCCATTCCTGCCTGGAATGCCCTCAAATCCCACCAAGAATTCCTTTAAATCCTGCCCAGAATTCCCTTGGGAATGGGATTGTGAGTATCACCGTCCCGCCGGAATTCCCTCAAACCCTGCCTGGAATTCCCTCAGGAACGGGATCATGAGTGTCCCAGTCCCACTCAGAATCCTCTCAAATCCCACCTGGAATTCCTCAGAACCTCTCTGGAGCTGCTGGACCCAGGAGCTGCTGGCTCCTGTCTGGAATTCCTGGTTCCTCCCTGTTGGGAATTTCTGGTTCCTCTCTGAAATTCCTCTGGGAGCTCCTGGTTTTTTCCCTGGAGCTCCTGGATTTTCCCTGGAGCTTCTGGTACCTCCTGGGAGCTCCTGGTTCCTCCCTGGAGCTTCTGGATCCAGAACCTCTGCCCAGAGCTCCCAGTTCCCTCTGGATCTCCTCCTTCCCCCTGGATCTCCTGGTTTTTCCCTGGATTTTCCCTGATTCCCGTTTTTCCCCCACAGTTCAATTACATGCACGAGTGCTTCGAGCGAGTGTTCTGCGAGCTCAAGTGGAGGAAGGAGGTGAGAATTCCAAACTTTTCCCTTTCCCAGGTGGCTTTCAGTGGGAAATGCTTCTCCTGGTCCATAATTCCCTCAGGGAATGACTGGATAATCCCAGGAGAGGAGCTTTGGAAGTGGGGATGGTTCCATGGAGCAGCTGGAAAAAGGAGCTGCAGGTGTTGGGAAAAGGCTCCTGGAGCTGGGGATGACCTGGGATAAATCTGGGAAAAATCTTGGATAAATTCTAATTTATCCAGAATTACCTGGATAAATCTGGGAAAAGGAGATGGGAATGACCTGGGATAAATCTGGGAAAAAATCTTGGATAAATTCTAATTTATCCAGAATTACCTGAATAAATCTGGGAAAAGGCTCCTGGAGCTGGGAAGACCTGGGATAAATCTGGGAAAAGGCTCCTGGAGCTGGAAATGACCTGGGGTAAATCTGGGAAAAACCTTGGATAAATTCTAATTTATCCAGAATTACCTGAATAAATCTGGGAAAACTCCTGGAGGTGGAATGGCCAGGATAAATCTGGGAAGATTCTTCCTTCTCCATCCCATTTCCCTCCTCCTCCTGCTTTAAGGAGAATTTTAAATTGGGATTGGGATTGGGATTGGGATTGGGATTTAAATTTATATTGGAATTGAGATTAGAATTGGGATTGGCATTGGCATAGAAATTTAAATTGGGATTGGAATTGCAATTAGAATTGAAATTGCAATTGGAATTGGGATTAGAATTGGTATTGGTATTGGAATTGGAATTTAAATTGATATTGGAATTGGTGTTGGGATTAGAATTGGAATTTAAATTGGGATTGGAATTGGTATTGGGATTAGATTTGGAATTTAAATTGAGATTGGCATTGGAATAGAAATTTAAATTGGGATTGGCATTGAGATTGCAATTGAAATTGCAAATGGAATTGAAATTTAAATTGGGATTGGCATTGGGATTGGAATTTAAATTGGGATTGGCATTGGGATTGCAATTGGAATTGAAATGGCAATGGGAATTGGAGTTGGGATTGGAATTGGCATTGGAATTGGGATTAGAATTGAAATTTAAATTGGGATTGGGATTAGAATTGAAATTTAAATTGGGATTGGGATTAGAATTGGAATTTAAATTGGGATTGGGATTGCAATTGGAATTTAAATTGGCATTGGGATTGCAATTGGAATTGGGATTAGAATTGAAATTTAAATTGGGATTGGGATTAGAATTGGAATTTAAATTGAAATTGACATTGGAATTGGAATTTAAATTGGGATTGGGATTAGAATTGAAATTTAAATTGGGATTTGGATTAGAATTGGAATTTAAATTGAGATTGGCATTGGAATAGAAATTTAAATTGGGGTTGGCATTGGAATTGGAATTGCCGTTGGCATTGGCATTTAAATTGGGTTTGGAACTGGCGTTGGGGTCAGGGCTGGCACTGGGATTGTGACTGGGACACTCCGGTGAGCTGCAGCCCTGCCTGGGATCTGAGCCCTTCCCAGCCCCTCCTCACTCCCATTTCCCAGATTTTCCCACCCTCACCTTGTCCCCTTTTCCTTCTTTTCCAGAACCTTTTCCAGCTGGTCAGGTCACAGCAAAGGGACGCGGCCACTTAACCCCGGGAGCTTTTCCAGAACCCCCCAAAATTCCCTTATTGTATTAAAGCCCCCCCCCAAACTAAATCTCATTAATTCCAAATCCATTCGTGCCCGTCATCTTTATGGAATTCCAGAGGGGAAAAAAAAACACAAAAAAATTGGGAAAAGCCACCCGAGGGGGCTCCACTTTCCCACTCAGATCCAGCTCCAGGCTGGGAATTTTGGGATTTTTCTTTTTTTTTTTTTTTAAACTGGAATTAAGAATTTGTTGTTTCTGCTGGGTCAGACGTGGAAAAATAGGGGGGAAAAAAAAAGCAGGAAAAAGCCCTGGAATGTTCTATTCCTGCTTTGGCATCCATGGGAATAATTCCTTTAAAATAATTCCTTTAAAATCCCACAGGGTGGCAGCAGCTCTTATTTAAAGGGATTTTCTGCCTCTTTCTCCTCCCAATCCAGGTTTTAATCACTACAGATTAAAAAAAAAAAACCAGGAAGAACATCCAAAAGGAGTAAAATTCCAAGGAAATTCCAGTCCTGGCACGAGGATCCCGCTCATGGATTTGTTTTTCTGCTTTTTGTGGTGTTTTCCCAGGGATTTGGGTGTGCCTGGTTCTTTGGGAAGGGATCTGGGACATTCCAGGATCCTGAGGCTGCCCCTGGATGGGGAATGAGCAGCTCCAAGGAGGAAAAATAACCTGGAAAAGCCAATTTTCCTGATTTTTGATGGGATTTTTCCCTGGATCCAATAGCTGGGCAGCTCCCAGGAGGGAAAAATAACCTCAAAAAGCCATTTTTTTTCCCCTATTTTTGAGCACTTTTTATCCATGACTTGGGTGTCCAAGCAGGAAAAATAACTTGGAAAAAACCATTTTCCCTCATTTTGAGCTGGATTTTTTTCCAAAGTTCTGGAGGAAAAGGTGGAAAATTCATTTTCCCTGGTTTTGAACAGGATTTTTCCATGGATCCAGTGGCTGGGATGTTCCAGGAGGGAAAAATGAGCTGGAAAAAGCATTTTTTTCCTTTTTTTCCATGTCTTGGGTGGACAGGCAGCTGCCAGAGGGAAAAACCCCTGGAAAAGATAATTTCCCAAATTTTGAGTGGGTTTTTCCCATCTTTTGAGAGGAAAAAATAAGGTGGAAAAAACCATTTTTCCTTGGATTTGAGCAGGTTTTATCCACAGGAGGCCCAGCAGGAAAAATCACCTGGAAAAGCCATTTTTCCTGGATTTGAGTGCAATTTTTTCATGTTTTGGGAGGAAAAATAAGGTGGAAAATTCATTTTTCCTTGATTTTTGAGCGGGATTTTTCCGTGGATCCGGCAGCTGAGGAATTCCTAGAAGGAAAAATTACGGAAAAGCTGGTTTTGCTTGGTTTTGAGTGAGATTTTTCCATGTTTTGGGAGGGAAAAAAATCACCTGGAGAAGCTGATTTTGCCTGGTTTTGGGCTGGCCTGGAGCTGGTCCCACCAAGGTTTGGGGTGGATTTGGGAATATTTGGAACCAAACCCAGCAGGAGCATCCTGGCCTCATTGCCAACCTCTGGAATGGGCCAGAATTTGCTCCAAATTGGGATTTTCCCCAAAATTCCCTTTTTGGGAAGGGGTTTTCCCCACTCCTCCCCTCTGGAGCCAGGATGGGGGAAAATATTTTTCTTTTTGAGAGGGGAAAATCCCAAACCCTCGGCTCTGGAGCAGCCGAGAGCCGGGAATTAATTCCATTAATTGGATCCCTGTAATTAATTGGATTTCCGTTGTCCTCGGGAGCCCCGAGCTGTGGAAAACCCGGGAATGGGGGAGGGAAACTGGGAGAGGTTTGGGATCCCCAAAATCCCCCCTAAAATCTCCTTCAGCACCCCCAATTTGGGTAAAATCCCAGGAAAAGTTTAATTTTGATCCCAATTATCCCTTTAGCCCCAAATTTTAACGGATCAAGGAGAACTCAACCATCTTCCTGTGGATTTTTTTAATCCAAAAAGCAAAAAAACCCAAAAAAGGGAGAAATCGGTCAGAAAAATACCAAATCAAACCCCTGCCCCCTTCTTGTCCCATTTTCCCTCTTCCAGCTGCTCCCATTCCTCGGGTTCCCAGTCGGGAAAAGCCCCTTTAGTGTAATTAATTGTAACATATTCTTTTAAATAAATTGATTTATTGAGGAAATTCCGGAGGGCCGTGGCCGTGCTCCTTCCCCTGGGGGTGCTCCCGTGTCCCCCCAAAATCTGGGAGGTTTCAAACTTCTGCACTTTGGGAATTTAGTGGGGTTTTTAAGGTGGATTTTTTTTTTGTTTGTTTGTTTTGTTTTTATTTCGACAGAAAAAAAACAAAAAAAAAAAAAAAGAGAGAAAAAAAGTCAATTCTGAAAGGAACTGCAATAAATAGCAAATAAATAAAGCCTTGAGCCCAGGGGGCTTCACTGCCCCTCCCCCAACGCCCCCCAAAACCCCACCCCCCCCACCCCCCAAAATCAACCCAGCAGGTCCCAAAGCCCCCCCCAAAATGGGGGGGACACGGAGGGGGCCCAACACCCCCCGTTATGTACAGTGGGGATGGGGGTGAAGAGGGGGGGCACTGGTTTGGGGGGGCTGGGGGCACTGGGAGGGGGTTTGGGGGGGCTGGGGGAGCCCTGACCCAGTTTGGGGGGGCCCTGACCCAGTTTGGGGGGGCTGGCGGGACATTGGACCCAGTTTGGGGGGGGCTCTGACCCCATTTGGGGATGTCCTGACCCGGTTTGGGGGTGCCCTGTCCCAGTTTGGGGGGACTGGGGGGGCCCTGACCCAGTTTGGGGGGAACTGGGGGGGCATTGGACCCATTTTGGGGGGGATCAGAGGGACATTGGACCCAGTTTGGGGGTGCCCTGACCCAGCTGGGGGAATTGGGGGGGCCCTGACCCAGTTTGGGGGCGCTGGGGTGGCACCGACCCCACCTGGGGAGGGCTGGGGGAGAATTGTCCCAGTTTGGGGGTGCTGGGGGCACCGGCCCAGTTTGGGGGCACTGGTTTTTGGGGGGCACTGGGGGCACTGATTTGGGGATTTTGGGGTTTGGGGGGTCCTGGGGGGCTCCGGGCTGGACACGGCCCCGGTTTGGCTGGTGGGGGCCGGCACCCCCCGGATTTGGGATCTGGGATCGTTTGGGATTCGGGGCTGGAGCCGCGTGTCCGTGTCCATGGTGGTGGCCATGTCCCCATGCCGGCTGCTCCCGGTGTCCCCTGGTGTCCCCTGGGTTTGGCTGGTTTGGAGTTCCCAGGAATTCCCGGGATCGGCCACTCCGTGTCCATCTGGCTCCTGCTGGGGACATCCCAAAAGTGGGGACATCCCAAAAAGTGTGGAGACATCTCAGAATGGGGACATCCCAAAAAGTGTGGAGACATCTCAGAATGGGGACATCCTGGGGTCAGGGCATTCCGGTGCTGAAGCGTCCCGTGGGCCATCCTGGGATTGGATCATTCCAATGTTGGAGCATCTGATGGAACGTTCTGGTGTTGGAAAATTCCGGTCCTGGATCCCTCTGGGCATCCCAGTAACGGAGCATCCTTAGGGTGGAACATTCCAGATTGGAGCATCCTGGTGTGGGACCATCCCAGGCCTGGAGCGTCCTGCTCTGGGATCCTCTGCTGTGGGATCATCCCATTGTGGGATCCTCTCCTGTGGGATCTCCTGTTGTGGGTTTGTCCTGCTGTGGGATCTCCTGCTGTGGGATCTCCTCCTGTGGGATCTTCTGCTGTGGGATCATCCCAGTCTCAGAGCATCCCCGTGGTGGAACATTCTGGTATCGGAGCATGCTGGTCCCAGAGCATCCCAGTGTCAGAACATCCCAGTATGGAGCAGCCCAGTGCTGGACCAGAGCGGGGCTGGAACATCCCAGTGTGGAACATCCCAGTGTGGAACATCCCAGTATGGAACATCCCAGTGTGGAACATCCCAGTATGGGATCATCCCAGTGCTGGACCAGAATGGGGCTGGAGCATCCCAGTATGGAACATCCCAGTGTGGAGCATCCCAGTATGGAACATCCCCATGGGGAACATCCCAGTGTGGGATCACTCCAGTGTGGGATCTCCAGCTGTGGGATCATCCCAGTCTCAGAGCATCCCCGTGATGGAACATTCTGGTATCGGAGCATCCTGGTCCCAGTGTCTGAACATCCCAGTGCTGGACCAGAGCAGGGCTGGAGCATCCCAGTGTGGAACATCCCAGTATGGAGCATCCCAGTATGGGAACATCCCAGTATGGGATCATCCCAGTATGGAACATCCCAGTATGGAGCATCCCAGTATGGGAACATCCCAGTATGGAGCATCCCAGTATGGAGCATCCCAGTATGGAACATCCCAGTATGGGAACATCCCAGTGTGGAACATCCCAGTATGGAGCATCCCAGTATGGAACATCCCAGTGTGGGATCATCCCAGTATGGAACATCCCAGTGTGGGATCATCCCAGTATGGAACATCCCAGTATGGGATCATCCCAGTGTGGAACATCCCAGTATGGAGCATCCCAGTATGGAGCATCCCAGTATGGAACATCCCAGTATGGGATCATCCCAGTGTGGAACATCCCAGTATGGAGCATCCCAGTATGGAGCATCCCAGTGTGGGATCACGCTGGTGTGGGAACATCTTGGTGCCAGAGCATCCGAGTGATGGAACAGCCCAGTGCTGATCCATCCCAGTCCATCCCAGTGCTGATCCATCCCAGTGCTGATCCATCCCAGTCCATCCCAGTGCTGATCCATCCCAGGGCCAGCCAATCCCAGTCCCAGTCCATCCCAGTAACGGAGCATCCCAGTGCCAATCCATCCCAGTGCCAGTTTATCCCAGTACCAGTCCATCCCACTCCCAGTCTATCCCATTATCAGCCCATCCCAGTACCAGTTTATCCCAGTCCCAGCCCATCCCATCCCAGTGCTGGCCCATCCCGAGGGGAAACTGAGGCAGGCTGTGGGCGGAGCGGGTGGCAGTGGCAGTGTTGGGGTCCCGCTGCGCCCCCGGGAGGACATTGGGGGGGGGGGAGGGGGGTCCGTGTCCCCCCCTTTGGGACCCCCAAAAACCCCCAGGACCGCCCCCCCCGCCAGAGACCCTCCCCCCCATCCCAGTTTGGAGCTGCTTTTGGTCCTTTTTGGTGAGAAAAGCCCCAAGAAGGGTCCTGGGGGGGGGGGGGGGGGTGGTGGGAGGGGGGGGGGGTCCTTTTGGGGTCCCCCAGGGTGGGCACGGCCCCCCCAAAAACGGAGTGGATGTGGCTGCTGTGGGGGGGGCACTGGCACCCTGCACTGGGCTGGACTGGGATGGACTGGGGGGGTCGGGTGGGGCCTGGAGGGGGGGTCCATCCTTCCTGAGCGTGGGGGGGTCTGGGGCCCCCCCCCCAGCAGGACCGAGCCCCCCCCCCCCGCCCCCCTGGGCACCGCTGGGTTTGGGGGGGCTGCTCTGCAATGGGGGGGCACCCAAAGGTGCTGCTCCGGAGCCTCTGGACCTGGGGAGGGAAAATTTGGGGATGGGGAGGTTAAACAGAGCTTGGGGGGCACTTCCTGCCCCCCCAAAACCCTGGGACACCCCAAATCCCTATGGGGGACACCTCAAATACCCCCCTGGGCATTTCCAGCCTCCCAAAACCCTGGGACACCCCAAATCCCAGTGGGGGACACCCCAAAACCCCCCCGGGCATTTCCAGCCCCCCAAAATCCCAAGGACCCCTCAAATCCCAACAGGGGGACACCCCAAATCCCCCCCCGGGGCACTTCCTGCCCTCCCAAAACCCTGGGACACCCCAAATCCCAATTGGGGGACACCCCAGCTGGGGAGTTTTAGGGGCTCAGGGGGTTCCTAGCCTGGAGGGGGTCATGGGGGGTCAAGGGAAGTTCTGGGGGGAGGTCCTGGGGGGGGTCTCAAGGGGATCCCCGAGGGTTTTCTATCCTTGGAGAGGTTCCAGGGGGTCTCAGGGAGTCCCAGGGTGTCCCAGGGGGTGTCCCCGAGGGTCCCAGGGAGTCCCAGGTGTGTCATGGGGGTGTCCCAGGTATGTCCTCGAGGTGTCCCAGGGGATCCCAGGCGGTCTCAGGGTGTCCCAGAGGGTTCCAGGATGTCCAAGGGGTGTCCTAGGGATGTCCCAGGGGGCTCCTGGGTGTCCCCGGGTGTCCCAGAGGGTCCCAGGGTGCCCCTGGGGTGTCCTGGGGGTCCCGGGGGTCTCACCAGGCTCAGTAGGGCCGGTTGGCATCTTTGGGCCTCTTGAGCTGCACCTTGAGCCGCTTCATCCCGATCTGGAAGCCGTTCATGGCCTGGATGGCGGCCTGGGCGCTCGCGGGGTTGTCAAAGCTCACGAAGCCTGCGGGGACATCGGGGGGGGTGTGGGGACATTGGGGACACGGGGACATCATGGGGTGTGGGGACATTGGGGACACGGGGACATCATGGGGATATGGGGACATGGAGGACATGAAGGATATGGAGGATTTGGGAACATTGTCCCCGTGTCCCCCTATCCCAACGTCCCCAATGTCTCCAGTATCCACATATCCCTCATCCCAATGTCGCCATTGTCCGTCTGTCCCTGTGTCCCCATGTCCCCAGTGCCCCCATATCCCATTATCCCTATTGTCCCCAATGTCCCCAATGTCCCCATTGTCACCAACATCCTCAACGTCCCCATTGTCCCCAATGTCCCCAGTGTCCCCATTATCCCCAAGGCCCCCATTGTCCCCAAGGCCCCCATTGTCCCCATTGTCCCCAATGTCCCCATTGCCCCCAATGTCCCCGTTGTCCCTGATGTCCCCAATGTCCCCATTATCCCCAATTTCCCCGATGTCCCCATTGTCCCCGTGTCCCTACCGAAGCACTTGCTCTGGTTGGTGGCCCTGTCCACGAAGACCTTGGCGGAGATGACGTTGCCGAAGGGGAGGAACATCTGCAGGATCTCGGTGTCGGCGAACTCCTGGGGCAGGTGGTAGATGAAGATGTTACAGCCCTCGGGGCCTGCGGAGGGAGCGGGGTCACACCTGGGACTGCGTCCCCAAAACCGACCGGACCCCACAACCGGGGCTGCCAAACCAAACCCAACATGGGACCCCAAAAAACCCGGGCTTTCAACCCAAAATGGACATAGATCCCAAAACCGGGGCTGCCAAACCAAACTGGACACAGGACCCCAAAACTGGGGGTCTTAACCCGAAAGTGACATGGGATCCCAAAACTGGGGCTGCCAAACTAAACCGGACACAGGATCCTAAAACTGGGGGTGCCAACCTAAAACCGACCGGACCCCAAAACCGGGGCTGCCAAACCAAACCGGACACGGGACCCCAAAACTGGGGCTGCCAAACCAAACCGGACACGGGACCTCAAAACTGGGGCTGCCAAACCAAACCGGACACGGGACCCCAAACCGGGGCTGCCAACCCAAAACTGACAGACCCCAAAACCGAGGCTCTCAACCCAAACCCAGCATGGGACCACAAAACCACAGCTCTCAACCCAAAACCTACACAGACCCCAAAACTGGGGCTCTCAACCCAAACCTGACACAGGATCCTAAAACCAGGGATGCCAACCCAAACCAGACATGGGACCCCAAAACCAGAGCTCTCAACCCAAAACCGAATAGACCCCAAGACCAGGGCTGCAAACCCAAAATGGACATGGGACCCCAAAATCGGGGCTCTCAACCCAAAACCAACACAGACCCCAAAACCAGGGCTCTCAATGTAAACCAGACATGGGACTCCAAAACCGGGGCACTCAACCCAAACCTGACATGGACCCCAAAACTGGGGGTCTCAACCCAAACGAGACACAGGACCCCAAAACCGGGACTCTCAACCCAAACCCAACAAGGACTCTTTTGGGGGGGTCCCGGGGGAATCTCAGGGGTCCCAGGGAGTTTTGGGGGTCTGGGGAGTTTGGGGGAGGTCCTGGAGGGTCCTGGGAGTTTTGGGGGTCCCGGGGGGGTCTCACCTTCACGCTGCTGCTGCTGTGGGGGGGGCGGGGGGGCGAGCAGGGGTCCCGGGGGGGCGAAGGCCGGGCTCACCAGCCCGTAGGCGGCCGGGTACGCGGCTGGGGGCACGGGGGGCATGGGGGGCACGGGGTCACCGGGGACATTGGTGCCACCAGTGCCACCCCAGTGCCCCCTCAGTGCCCCCAGTGCTGTACAACACCTCCCAATGCCACCAGTGCCACCCCAGTGCCCCCAATGCTGTACACCACCTTCCCAAAGCCATTGGTGCCACCCCAGTGCCCACCCAGTGCCTGCCCAGTGTCACCCAACAACATCCCAGTGCCCCCCAGTACTGCACAGCACACCCCCAGTTCCTCCCACTGCCCTCCCAGTTCCCCCCAGTCCCATCAAGAGCTCCCCCATTGCCCTTCTCAGTTCTCCCAGTGCCCCCAATGCCACACAACAACCGCCCAGTCCCTCCCAGTACCACACACCCCCCTCCCAGTGCCCCCTCAGTCCCTCCCAGCGCCCTCCCAGTGCCACACTACCCCCTCCCAGTCCCTCCCAGTGCCCCCCAGTCCCTCCCAGTCCCTCCCAGTGCCCCCAGTACGCACCAGTGTAGTGCTGCATGCCAGCGTACGCCTGCTGCAGGGGGTCCCCGGGGGCCGCGGGGCTCTGGGCTGGGGGCACAGGGGGGATTAGGGGGCGGCCCGGCGGGGCTCGGGGGGCTGGGGAGGGGTCGGGGGGCACCTGGGAAGGGGGGGACCCCTCCGGCGTAGACGGCGTCGGGGGCGGGGGGTCCCGCGGGCTGCGCGGGCACGGGGCTGTAGCCGTTGACGCTCAGCGGGGCCGCGATGGCCGGGACGGGGGTGGCCGCCATGGCCGGGGGGGTGCTGGTTCCTGGGGAGAAACGGTCAGAGCCGGGTCAGCACCGGGACAGCGCCGGGACAGCACAGGGACAGCACCGGGACACCACGGGGAACACCACCGGGACACCGGGACTGTGACCCTGGAGGGTGGGGAACCTCACACGGGTTTGGTGGTGGTTGAGTGTCCCTGTCCCATCTGTGGTGTCCCCGTCCCATCCATGATGTCCCCATTTATCCCATGTTCCATCCTTGGTGTCCCCATCCCACCCCTGGTGTCCCCATCCCATCCATGGTGTCCCTATCCCTGGTGTCCCTCCCCAATGTCCCCATTCCTGTGTCCCCTCCCTACTGCCCCCATCCTCAGTGCCCCCATCCCCTGGTGATCCCCATCCCCATGTCCCCATCCCAATGTCCCCATCCCTAGTGTCCCTCCCCATTGTCCCCATCCCTGCTGCCCCCCATCCCCGTGTCCCCCATGCCCTCCCCGCTGTCCCCTTGTCCCCTGTCCCCGTTACCTGAGGAGGGTGGCAGGGGGGTGGCGATGAGCCCGTTGGGGTTGACCGTGCCCATGTGCTGCATCTGGACGGCCATGGTGGCCATGGGGCTGAGGTAGGCCGAGTGCGCGGCCACCAGGGCCGCCTGCTGCTGCATCAGCTGTGGGGACACGCCTGGCACCGCGCGGCCACCGCGGCCACCGCCGCCCCGGGAGCCACCAACACCCCGGGAACCCACCCCGGTGCCACCAAGACCCTGGGAGCCCACCCCAGTGCCACCACCACGCTGGGAGCCCACCCCAGTGCCACCAACACCCCAGGACATGGGACTAGCACATCCCCATGGATGTCACCCCGGTATCCCATCCAGGACCAGCATGTCCCCATGGATGTCACCCCAGTGCCACCAACACCCCAGGACATGGGACCAGCACATCCCCATGGATGTCACCTTGGTATCCCATCTAGGACCAGCACATCCCCATGGATGTCACCCCAGTGTCCCATCCGAGACCAGCATGTCCCCATGGATGTCACCTCAGTGTCCATATCCTCCCATCACCAATCACCCCAACCACCTCAGGCTGGATTTTGGGGGGTTCCACCCCCTTCCCTTTGATCCCCCCAGTGTCCCCAGTCCCTCCCAGTGCCCCCAGCATCCCCAATCCCCCTCAGTGTCCCCAGTCCCTCCCAGTCTCCCCATTGTTCCCAGTGTCCCCAGTGTCCCCAGTGTCCCCAGTGCCCCGTACCGCCTGCGTGTAGGCGCTGTAGGCGCCGAACTGGAGGGCGATGGGGCTGAACATGCCCAGCTGGCTGGCCACCTGCTGCATGCGCCGCAGCCCCCGCTCCTTCTCCGTGTCCGCAAACTTCACCACCAGGCTGGACGAGGCGCCCTGCGGGGACACGGCGGCCACTCGCGGTCAGTTGTGGTCACTCATGGTCACTCATGGTCAGTTGTGGTCAGTTGTGGTCACTCATGGTCACTCGTGGTCAGTTGGGGCCATTCGGGGTCACACGGGGTGGGGCAGTGGTGGGAGCGGTGATGGGAGTGATGGTTGGGTTGTAGTGGGGTGAGGATGATGGTGGAGGTGATGAAGAGGATGAGGATGGGGTTGATGATGGGGACAGTGGTGAGGATGACAATGGTGACAATGGGGATGACAACCATGATGAGGATGATGAAGAGGACCATGAAGGGGTCAAGGATGAGGATAATAAAGGGAATGATGAAGGGGACCATGAAGGGGACAATGATGAGGATGATGAAGGGGATGACAAAGGGCACGATGAAGAGGATGCTGAAGGTGACAGCGCAGGGGGCGATGATGAGGACAGTGATGGGACAATGAAAGGGACGGTGACAAAGGTGACACCACAGGTGACATTGCTGAGCACGGTCCCTCACCGGCAGCGTGCGGCTCCCGTGCAGGGCGGCGATGGCGGCCTGGGCCTCCGCGTGGCTCTGGAACTTGACGAAGGCGCAGCCTGGGGACATCGGGGACATTGGGGACATTGGGGACATCGGGGACATTGGGGACATCGGGGACATCAGCCCTATGGCAGTCCCAGGGAGCTCTGGGGGTCCCACCCCACCCCTGCACCCCCATCACACCATGGACCCCCCAAACCCCATTAACCCCATCCCTGCCGTGCTCCCCATAAACCCCATCCCTGCCCCACAGATCTCCCTATGCCCTGCTGCCACCTGCAGTGTCCCCATGCCCGTGTCCCAGTGCCCAGGTCCCAATGCCAGTGCAGTGTCCCAGTGCCACCTATGGTGTCCTGGTCCCACCTGCAGTGTCCCTGTGCCTTTATCCCCGTGCCTATGTCCCCATGATGGTGTCCCCCTGCCCATATCCTGGTGCCACCCACAGTGTCCCCATGTCCCCATTAAGGTGTCTCAGTGCCATGTCCCAGTGCCACCTGCAGAGTCCTGATGCCACCTGCAGTGTCCCTGTGCTGGTGCCCTCGTGCCCGTGTCCTCATGACGGTGTCCCTGTGCCCATGTCCCCATGGCCATGTCCCCATGCCGTGTCCCAGTGCCACCTGTGCTGTCCCTGTGCTCTTGTCCCTGTGCCCATGTCCCCATGGCCATGTCCCCATGCCGTGTCCCAGTGCCACCTGTGCTGTCCCTGTGCTCTTGTCCCTGTGCCCATGTCCCCATGGCCATGTCCCCATGCCGTGTCCCAGTGCCACCTGTGCTGTCCCTGTGCTCTTGTCCCTGTGCCCATGTCCCCATGCCGTGTCCCAGTGCCCCGGTGACCCCCGTGGGACCCCCCGGGACCCCCAAGTGATCCCGCCCGCCCCGGGGTGTCCCCCCCGTGTCCCCCCCGTGTCCCCCCACCTTTGCTGGTGCCGTCGGGCCCGCGCAGCACCGTGCACTCGTCGATGGTGCCGAAGGGCTCGAACATCTTGCGCACGTCCTCGTCCGCCTGCTGCTTGCTCAGCATCCCCACAAAGAGCTTCCGGTCCTCTGCGGGACAGCCACGGTGACATCGGGACATGGGCACGGGGACAGGGGCACGGGGACACCGCGGGTGGCACTGGGACATGGGCAGGGGGACACGGCCATGGGGACACCGCGGGTGGCACTGGGACATGGGCAGGGGGACACGGCCATGGGGACACCGCGGGTGGCATCAGGACATGGGCAGGGGGACAGGGACATCAGGACACCACAGGTGGCATTGGGACATGGGCACGGGGACAGGGGCATGGGGACACCGCGGGTGGCACTGGGTGGCACTGGGACACGGGCAGGGGGACAGGGACACAGGGGCACCATGGTGGCATTGGGACATGGGCAGGGGGACATGGGAACAAGGACACTGCGGGTGGCATTGGGACACCTTGCATGGCAGTGGGACATGGGCATGGGGACAGGGGCATGGGGACACCGCAGGTGGCATCAGGACATGGGCAGGGGGACACAGCCATGGGGACACCACGGGTGACATCGGGACATGGGCACGGGGACAGGGACACGGGGACACCGCGGGTGGCACTGGGACACGGGCAGGGGGACATGGGAACAAGGACACTGTGGATGGCGTCGGGACACCTTGCATGGCAGTGGGACATGGGCATGGGGACACCACCATGGGGATACGGGCATGGGGACACCGTGGGTGGTGCTGAGACACTGGCAGTGGGACATGGGCACTGGGACATGGGCAGCAGGACCATGGTGGCCATGGGGCGAGTGGCACTGGGACATGGGCATGGGGACAGGGACATGGGGACACTGCAAGTGGCATTGGGACATCGCAGGTGGCATCGGGACATGGGTAGGGATGGCCATGGGGACATGGGCGTGGGACACGGGCACAGGGACACCATGGATGGCACCGGGACACAGGCACAGCGACACCACCACTGGCATTGGGACACCGGCAGGAGGACAGTGCCACGCAGAGGGGTGTGACACTGCAGGAAGGATGGGGTGGGGTGGGGACATTGGGAATGGGAAGAGGGTGACAACTCCTGGAAAAGGGACATGGAGGGACACCCCAGAGGGGACAGGGACAGATGTGGGGTGGCTCTGCGGGTCTCACACTGGGGGGTGGCCTTGGGGTAATTTGGGGACACCGGGGTTTGGGGACAGGGTGGTGTGGGTGAGTTTAGGGTAATTTAGGGGAAGATTCTCGGGGATTTTAGGGGGATTTGGGGGTGATTTGGGGGTGATTTTGGGACGATTTTGGGGTTTTTGGGGGCGGTACCTCCTCGGCTCTCACTGTCCGCCGGCTTCACCTGGATGGGCCGGTTCATCTGGGGGGGGGGGGACACACAGGGGGGGGTGTGGGACACACAGAGACCCCCCTGAGACCCCCCCCACACCTTCCCCCACCCCCTCAGAGCGTCCCAACCCCCCCAACTAGATGCTCGGGTCGCCATGGCAACGCCGGGCCTGCATCCCGTTACCTGGCAACGGGAGCCGCAGCCCGGGGGGGGGGGGAGGGGGGGCCGCGTTAATGAGCGCCCCTCCCCCCCCTGCGTTAATTGGGGGGGGGGGGGATGGACCCAACCCCGCCCCTCCCCGCCCCCCCCCGGAACCCCCCAGAGGAACGGGGGCGGGGGGGGGGGAGGGGGAGGGGCGCAGATGCGCGGGTTGCCATGGCAACGGCCGGCTCCGCTCCATGGCAACCGCCCACTCATCCCCAATTTACCCATCGCCGTTGCCTGGCAACGCCGCTGACGTCATCAGCGCTCGCGATAAACAATGACGGGGATGGGGATGGGGATGGGGGGCGGGGATGGAGATTTGGGGAGGGGGGAAGAGGAGGAGACCCCCCCCCCCCCCCCAGGCCTGGTGTGACCCCGCCCCCCCCCCCCAAAAACCCCTCAGGGTGTGGGGGAGGGGCGGCCGTGCCCCATTTTGGGGGGATTTGGGGGGAATTTGGGCTTTTTGCGGACAGGGGGGGGTGGGGAGGGATGATTTGGGGGCGGGCCCATCCCCGGCTGACCCTCGCGCGTTCCTTTCGCCGCCCGAAAGCGAAGGTGCCCCCCCCCCCCCGAACCCCCCCCCCCTCAATGAGCCCCAGATGGCGCTGGAAATGCCCCCCCCGGGTGGGGGGCGGGGGGCGTTAATCCCCCCCTAATCCCCCCCACCCCCCTCCCCACGCGTTGGATCAACCCAAAGGAGGGGGGGGACGCACAAAGGGGGGGGGCGAACAAAGCCCCCAAACCCCCCCCCACAAACCACACCGGGACCCCCCCCCCGTGCTCAGCGCAGCGCTGAGGGTGACGCCCCCCTCCCCAATTCCCAGCGCAGCTGCTGGGGCGGGGCGGCCTTAATCCCCCCCCCCAAAATAAAACCCCCCATCCAAACCAACCCCCCCCCAGCCCAAATCCCCCCGGATTTACGGCCCCAAATCCGGGATTATCCCGGCCAAGCCAAATCCCCCCCGGGCCTGGCGGGACACGCGCGGGGGGGGGCGCGCCCTGAGACCCCTCCCCACTTTAGGGACCCCCAGATTCCCTCCCCAACCCCCCGGCTTTTATCCCGCCCAGAAAATCTCAAACCCCCCCCAAAATCAGTTTGGGAGAGGGATGAGAGGTGGGACCACCCCCCCAAAATTAATTAGGGGTGGGGGGCACCGGGATTTCAGGACCCCCCCCCCAAAATTCGGGGCTTTGTTGTCTCCGTGCCCCACCCGGCCGCGCTTCATTAGGGCCCGGCCCTCATTAGCGGAGCTAATTTAAACACCCCACGGATGGTCGGGGGCGCCCCTGGCCCCCCAAAAATCGCTCCGGTAGTGGGGGACGGGGGTGGTCCCTGAAATGGGGGGGGTGTGGGGGGGATTTTGGGGGGATTTTTAAAGCGGTTTTGTGGTGATTTTTGGGGGATTTCAGGGTGATTTTTGAGGGGTTTCCGAGCGAATTTGGGGGAGTTTCAGGGTAATTTTTAGGGGGTGATTTTGGGGGGATTTCAGGTTAATTTTTAGGGGTTTCAGGGCGATTTTTGGGAGGGTTTCCGGGTAATTTTAGGGGTGATTTTGGGGGAATTTAGGGCTGATTTTTAAGGGGTTTTGTGGTGATTTTCAGGGACATTTAAGGGCTGATTTTTGGGGGGTTTCCGAGCAATTTTGGGGGGGGTTTCAGGGTAATTTTTAGGGGGCGATTTTGGGGGATTTAAGGGTGATGTTTTTGGTTGGTTTCTGGGTGATTTTTGGGTGGTTTCAGTGCGAATTTTTGGGGTTCACTGCGATTTTTGGGGTTTCACTGTTATTTTCAGGGGGTTTATGGGGGATTTTGGGGTGTCCCGGGCTGGGGGCTCACAGAGGGATTTGGGGGTGCCTCGGGGGGGTCCCCCAAGCCCCCCACTCACCCCCGGCAGGGTTTTCTGCTCGTGCAGGGCGCTCTGGGCCTTCAGGGCCGACTCGCGGGCGCAGTAGGTCAGGAAGGCGCATCCTGGCGGGAAAAAAAGGGGTCGGGGGGCGTCAGGGGGACCCCCGAGGTGTCCTCACCCCCAGATCGAGGTGACACAGAGGGTCTGGAGTGGCCAGAGAGCCCCAAAAATAGCGGGACCCCCCCCCCAGAACACTCACAGCCCCATAATGGCTCCCAGAGACCCCAAATAACCCCCAAAAATCCCAAACAGCCCCCACTGACCCCAGACCCCTCCTCACACCACCCAACCACCCCCTACAGAGACCCCAAACCCCCCCAAAAGCCCCCAGACCCCACATTTTGGCACAGTGACCCCCCCAAGACCCCTGGAGGTCCCCGAGGACACCCAGGACCCCTCGAAAACCCCCCCAGTTTTGGTGCCGGGGGTTTGGGGGGCTCAGAGTCCCCCTCCGGGTGTTGGGGACACCCCCGGCGTGGGCAGCAGGGTCCTGTCACTGTCACCCCCATCCCCAGGGAGCCCCGGAGCCGGTGTCACCCCCAGGGACACACAGTGACCGTGTGACACCCCCAAAAACAGACACAACACCCCAAAACAACAACTGGACATCCCAAAATGACACCCAGAAACCCCAAAACAACACCCAGACACCCCCCAGCATCACCCAGAGCCAGTGTCACCCTCACAGGGACCCATGGGGTGACCACGTGGCACACAACACCCGCCTGGCACCCCAAAACAACACCCGACACAACAGCCGGACACCCCAAGGGCTGGGTGTCACCTGGAGGGGCACCCACGTGACACCCCAACACCCAAAACAACACCTAGCAGGGCCTGGAACTGCTGCACACAGCTGGCACAACAGCAACCACACCCAACTCCCCCAATAACACCCAACAACACACCCCAACAACACCCAACAACAACACCCCAGCAACACTCAAACAACAACACCCCAACAGCACCTAACAACAACACCCCAGCAACAACAGCCCAGCACAAAAACAGCCCAAGAGCACCCCAGTAACAACAGCAACACCCCAACAACAACAGCCCCAAGAACAGCAAAAAAACCAGCACAAAACCCCAAAAAAACAGCCCAAGAACACCCCAACAACAGCAACAGCCCAACAACAGCCTGCACTGCACCCAGCCCCACAACAGCCGGACACAACACCCCCACAGCCCCAGCACACGGGGTACAACACCCTGACACAGGGTACCCCGTCTGGGCTGGGGGCTGCGACTGTTCCTGGTGCCCTCGGCTGTTCCTGGGGCTGTTCCCAGTGCCCAGGGTTGTACCCGGGGCCTGCGGCTGAAGGCTGAGCTGTGGGTGTTGCTCAAGGCCTGCAGCTGTACTGGGGCTGTTCCTGGGGCTGTTCCCAGTGCTCTCGGTTGTACCCAGGGCTGTTTCCGGTACCGGGGGCTGTTTTGGGGGCCGTTCTCAGTTCCCAGTGCCCTCGGTTGTACAGGTACTGTTTGTGGGGCTGTTCCCGGTACCGGGGGCTGTTCCCGGTGCCCTCGGTTGTACCCAGGGGCTGTTTTGGGGGCTGTTCCCAGTTCCTGTGATTGTACCGGTACTGCTCGTGGGGTTGTTCCCGGTACCGGAGGTTGGATCTGGAGTGGTTCCCAAGCTGGGGCTGTTCCGGTTGCCGGGAGCTGTTACGGGTACCGAGGCCCTCGGTTGTACCCGGGGCTGTTCCCGGTGCCCCTCGGTTGTACCCGGGGCTGTTCCTGGTGTCCTCGGTTGTACCCGGGGCTGTTCCCGGTACTCCAGGCCGTATCATGGTGCTATCCCCGGTGCCAGTGGCTGTTCCCAGTACCGGGGCCGTATCCTGGGGCCATTCCCGGTACCGGGAGCTGTTCCCAGTACCGGTGGTCATTCCCAGTCCCGGGTACCCCATCCCGGGGCTGTTCCCGGTACCGGGGCTGTATCACAGGGCCATTGCCGGTGCTAGGAGCTGTTCCCGGTACCGGGAGCTGTTCTTGGTGCTGGAGGCCGTGGCACGGGGCTGCTCCCCGGTACCGGGGATGTATCCCAGGGCTATTCCCGGTGCTGGGGGCTGTTCCCAGTACCGGGGGCCACATCCTGGGGCTATTCCCAGTACCGGGAGCCGTATTGCAAGGCCGCTCCCGGTACCGGGGCCATCTCCCGGGGCTGATCCTGGCTTCAGGGGCCGTTCCCGTTACGGGGGGGCCCGAATCCCAGGGCTGATTCCGGTGCTGGGAGCTGTTCCCGGTACTGGGAGCCACATCACGAGGCCATTCCCGGTACCGGCGGCTGCTCTCAGTACGGGGAGCCACATCCTGGGGCTATCCCGGTACCGGGGGCCATATCCCCGAGCTAATCCCGGTACCCGGGGCCCATTCCCGGTACCGGGGGCCGAATCCCGGGGCTCTCCCCACACCCCCGTGCCCGTGCCCCGCACCCACCCCCGCTGCCCGCGCTGCCCCTGCCCCATTCCCGCTGCCCGTTCCCGTTCCCTTTGCCCATCCCCGGTTGCCGTGGTTGCCGGTTCCGGTACCTTTGTGGCAGTGTCCGGGTGTACTTGTCCTTGATGACGGTGAGCTCGTAGATTTTGCCGAATTGCTCAAAAATCGGTTTCAGGTCCTTCTCCTCCAGGTGCCGCGGGATCTGCCCCACGAAGGAGTTGATGGCGTCCGGTTCCTTCATGGGGGCCGCCGGGGGCTCCCCGGGCCCCGGGGCCGCTCCCGCTCCCCGCTATCACCGCCCGCCGCCTCGGCTCCCGGTGCTCCCGGCGGTGCCCGGTGCCCCGGCGCACACAAAGGACGAGGCGGCCCCGGGGCTCGGCTCGGCTCCGGGGACGGGGCCGCGCGGGGCGGGGGCAGCTCTGCCCGGGGGGCGGCGCTCCCGGCGCTCCCGGTGCGTCCCGGCCGTTTCCCGGGTGCTGCTCCCCAAAATCCCGGCGGATGCTGCGAGCGTCCGCCCCGCCGGTACCGCCCCGGTGGCCTCGGGGAGGGTCCCGGTACCGGGCGGGGGGCGGGGGGAGCTCAACGCCCGCTTCGGGTTCATGGCGGCCGCGGCCGCCGCCGCTCCCCGGAGCCCTCGGTGGTGGCCGAGCCCCCCCCCACGCCGGGGCAGCGGCACCGGGTACCGGGGTACCGGCACCGGGATCGGCACCGGGAGATGCTTTTCTTGCCCGGTTGGAGCCGCCCCGCCCCGCCCCGCCCGGTGCTGATGTCAGAGCGGCACCGGGGACCGGCACCGGCGGCGGCACCGGGGCCTGGGAGCGGGACCGGGCACGAGAACTGGGAATCGGCTACGGGCACCGGGAGCGGATAACGGGCGACCGGCACCGGGGCACGGGCTCTGCCTGCCGGGCACCGGCACCGGCGAAAACAGCGGGACCTGGAGTCACCGGGACCGGGGCTCTGGGAAGCGGCTACCGGCACCGGCAACCGAGCAGCGGATAACGGGCACCGGGAGCGGCTGCGGGATGCGGCACACCGAGGACTGCGAACGGGGAGCCGGGGAGGGGGCGCTCGAAACCGGGGACAACACCGGAACCGAGCACCGGCAGCGGCACCGGGAGGGGCCCGGGGCTCCGGTATCGGCCCCGCCCGGGCCCGGGGGCGGTTTTGGGGGGGGGGGGGTTGTCGGGGATGTTTTGGGGAGGGGGCGGGGCCGCTCCCGCGCGCATGCGCAGGGGGGGGGGGGGGGATACCGGGGCGGGGGGGGGGGGAAGGTCCGGTGTCCGCCCACGCGTGTCCCCTCCCCCCCCCCCCGTGTGTCACTGTCGCCTCCCGGTGCTGTCCCCGGTGCTGAAGGCGGCCCCGCCCCCTCCCCGCCCGTGTCACCGCACACGGCCGTGTGGCGGTGTCCCCAGACCGGTGTCACCACTTGGTGTCACCCCACGGTGTCCCCAGGCCGGTGTCACCCCTCAGTGTCACCCCCTCGGTGTCCCAGTGTCCCCAGACCGGTGTCACCCACCCGGTGTCTCCAGGCTGGTGTCACCCCCTCAGTGTCACCCCCCTCGGTCTTCCAGTGTCCCCAGTGCGGTGTCACCCCCTGTGTGTCGGTGTCACCCCTCGGTGTCCCCAGGCTGGTGTCACCTCTCCAGTGTCCCGGTGTCCCCAGACCGGTGTCACCCCCTCCGTGTCACCCCTTCGGTGTTGCAGTGTCCCCAATGTGGTGCCACCCCCCCCGTGTGCCAGTGGTCACCCCTCAGCGTCACCCCCTCAGCGTCCCCAGGCCAGTGCCATCCCTCGGTGTCACCCCCCTCGGTGTCCCAGTGTGCCCCAGACCCGGTGTCACCCCCTCGGTGTCCCCACCCCGTGTCACCTTCCCTGCTCTGTGTCACCCTGTCCCTCCGCTGGCTGTGTCACCTCCCTTCACGTCCCGCTGTCCCCAGCCGTGTCCCCCCCCCGCCGTTGTCATGGCAACGAGCAGGTGACAGCCCAGGTGGCACCGCCACACCCCCCCCCCCACCCCGAGGGGTGACACCTTTGGGGACACGGGGCAGGTGGGGACCCCCCTTTAGGGTCACAGGCCAGGTGGCTTCGGGGACACCCCTTGGTGACACTTTGGGGGGACACCCCCACCGGTGACACTTTTTGGGGACCCCTCCGTGGTGGCACTTTGAGGACACAGGCCAGGTGGCTTTGGGGGACATCCCGTGGTGACAATTTGGGGACACCTGGCCGAGGTGGGCGGGCGTTCCCCAGCTGGGTCCCGCCCCCAAGAATTGACTCAGAACGCCCAAATTCGGATCCCAAAATTCCCTGTTGTTTTGGGAAAATTTGTGGCCTTTTCTTCCCCAAATCCTACAGATCCCAAAATTGCGAGATCCCCCCAAAATCTCTGAGACCCCACAAAATTTTGGGACCCCCCAAAAAAATTTTGGGATGCCCCAAAAAATCCTGATTCCCTTTTTTGGGGGGATTCCTTTGGGAATTAGGGGGGTTCCCAAAGGGGGACCCCCTAAATCCCTCCAGCGACCCCAAATTCACCCTGGGAACCCCAAATCCATCCCAGGGACCCCAATTCTATCTCAGGGATCCCCCCTCCAGGATTTTGGGGTTCAATGGGGGGGGTCCTGAGGGTCTCACAGGAATTCCACAGCCCCCCAAAATTCCACTGAACTCCATTTTTCAAAGGGGGGAAAAGGCCCCAAATCCATCCTGGGAATGGCCCCAGATACACCCTGGAACCCCAAATCCATCCCAGGGACCCCAAATCCATCCCAGGGACCCCTCTGGACCAAAGTGGGGCTCAGGAGATTTGGGGGGGTCAAAAAACCCCAAAATCTGCTCTGGGAACTCAGAGACGTCCAAGAGTTCCACAGAGCTGAGGGGGGATCCCTCAAGAGGGGAAACAACCACAAATCCATTCTGGGGACCCCAAATCCATTCTGGGGACCCCAAATCCTCCCCAGGGACCCCCCCAGATCAGAGTGGGGCTCAGAAGGATTTGGGGGGGCTCAAAAAACCCCCAAAATCTGCGCTGGGAACTCAGAGATGTCTGGAAGTTCCACAGAGGTGAGGGGGGATCCTAAAGGAGGAGGAATGGCCCCAAATCCATTTTGGGGACCCCAAATCCATTTGGGGACCCCAAATCCACCCCGGGGACCCCCAATCTCCTGGGGGGGGGGGTCAGAGGAGCCTCTCCCTGCTGCTCTCCAGCTGCTGCTGCTGCTGCTTGCTGCCAGTGGCGGAAGCGTTTGGTTTTGGGGTGCAGGAACTGAACCACGTCCATGGGAACCCTCACAGTGTCCAGGCCGTTCACCTGGGGACCCCAAAAACACCCTCAGTCACCCCAAAACCACCCTAAAAACCCCAAAACCACCTCAGTCACCCCCAAAACCACCCCAAAAACACCCCCAGGGCACACCACGTCCATGGGACCCACACAGTGTCCAGGCCGTTCACCCTGGGGACCCCAAAAACACCTCAGTCACCCTAAAAACACCTCAAAAACACCAAAGCCACCCCAAAAAACACCCCAAAAAAAAAGCAAAAACACCCCTGGGACACCACATCCGTGGGAACCCTCACAGTGCCAGGCCGTTCACCCTGGGGACCCCAAAAACCACCTCAGTCACCCCAAAAACACCCTAAAAACCCCAAAACCACCTCCGTCACCCAAAAACACCCCAAACACCACCCTGGGGCTCCATGTCCATGAGAACCCGTTCAGTGTCCAAAACATTCACCTGGGGGACCCCAAAACCACCTCAGTCACCCCAAAAACACCTGAGTCATCCTAAAAACAGCCCAAAAAACCCCCAAAAACACCCCAAAGCCACCCCCAAAAACTCCCCTGGTGCAACATGGCCATGGGTACCCACAGCGTCCTAACTGTTCACATGGGGACCCCAAAAGCACCCCAAAAAAACCTCAGTCATCCTAAAAACACCCCAAAAACCACTGAACCACCCCAAAACCACCCCAAACCACACAAGACATCCATAAACCACCCCAAAACCTCCCAAGCCATCCCCAAAAAACACCCCAAAAACACCCCCAGAGTACCACGGCCATGGGTACCCGCACTGTGTCCAAACCGTTCACCTGGGGGACCCCAAAAACACCTCAGTCACCCCCCAAAAATACCCTAAGAAACCCAAAAATACCTGACTCATCCCCAAACACACCCCCAAAACACCCGAAAAACATCCCCAAAACACCCTAAGAAACCCCAAACAACACCTCAGTCACCCTAAAAACACCCCAAACCCACCCCAAAACACCTCAGTCACCACCAAAAAACCATAAAACATCTGAGTCACCCACGAAAACACCCCCAAAACACCTTAGGTCACTCCAAAAACACCCAAAAAAAAACCCCAAACCACCCCAAAAACATCCCAAAACACCCCTGGTGCACCACGGCCATGGGCACCCCGCACTGTGTCCAAATCGTTCACATGGGACCCGCCAAAAGCAGCCCCCAGGACACCCCAAAAGCAGCCCCAGGACACCCCCAAAACCCACCAGGATCACCCCAACACCCCCCAAATCACTCCAAGGTTCCCAGCTGGAGGGAGAAAGGGAAAGAGGGAAAAAGGAAAATGGGGGAATCAGCTGGAAATGGGGAAGGGAATGAGGGAAAAGTGAAATTGGGAGTGGGGATTTGGGGAAATGGGGAGGAAATGGAGAAAGGGAAAGTGGGGTGGGAAGTGAAAGGGAAATTGGGGAAAATGGGGAGGAAATGAAGGGAAAGAGGGAGGGGGAAATTTGGGTGGAAGTGAGGAGGAAATTGGGAGTGGGATTGAGGAATACGGGGTGGAAATGAGGGGAAATGGGAGAGGAAAATGGCGTGGGAGTGAGGGGGAAATAGGGAGAAAATGAAAAGGAAATTGGGGGAAATGAGGAGGAAATTAGGGAGAAATAGGGAGAAGGAATGGGGTGAAAGTGAGGGGGAAATGGGGAGGAAATTAGGGGGGAATGGGAGAGGAAAATGGGGTGGAGGTGAGAAGGGGATAAGGAGAAAGAGGAAGGGAAATTGGGGGAAAATGAGGAGGAGATGAGGGAGAAATAGGGAGAAAGAAATGGGGTGGAAGTGAGGGGGAAATGGTGAAGAAATGAGGGGAAATGGGGGGGGACTGGGAGTGGAGATTGGGGAAAATGGGGAGAAATGAGGGGGAATAGGAGAGGAAATGGGGTGGATGTGAGGGGGGTTAAGGAAAAAGTGGAAGGGAAATTGGGGAAAATGAGGAGGAGATGAGGGGGAAATAGGGAGAAAGAAGTGGGGTGGAAATGAGGAGGAAACTGGGGGAAATGGGGAGGAAATGAGGGGGAACAGGAGGGGGAAATGGGGTGGAAGTGAAGGGAGAAATTGAGAGAAAATGAAAAG